TAACATTTTCTGTTACATTGGTGAAATATCCTTAACTGCATTTTCAAGTTTTGAAAAGGTTATTAAATACTTGTTATATAGGCAATTCTTTAAGTTATGTTAGAAAAGGAAAATTTAGAGACTTTTCTGAGAAGAATTTTTCTATCAGCTTTTCTCAACCCTTTGTGGTATACAGAGAGCAGGTGAGGTTTTTATTTAAAAACTTGATTAAACTTTATCAAACTTAAAAACTTTTTGGAGATAACCTGTGCTAGCTGTAGGGCATTTATTGTTTTGATGATAATATAATTCAGGTAGAAAACAATTTGCATCAATCATTGATTTAAAAAAATTTTTTGTCAGGTAAAGTTAAAAGATTTGTGATTTGTGTATTCATTCAAATTAATGGAAACATGTGTGTGTGTATATATATATATATATGTCTTTGTTGTCCTTTTCACCATTCTTCTTTTCCTCTGCTGTTCTCCAGTATCAGGAATTTAGTGACTATATATACCCAGCCAGTCATTATCTGCATCATTTATGTGCATGTTGATAGATTATATGTAAATGTTCACAGTTTTATGAGGTGTTTATTTTAGAATATATCAGTTTGTTCCAGCAGTTAATGTTCCTGTTAATCTATTCCCAGCCAAGTTATATTTTATATGAAAGCTTTATAAAATGATCAAGTATAACTTGGCAACTTATAGTTATACAATTTTATAAAATTTTGGATCTGTTATCAACAATCACATTATACCAATGTGGTGCGGTGACTACAATTTCTGGTTCACACCATCTGTTGTTTTAGCCTTGGGCACCATTACTCAGAACCTTCCACAGTCATAATCACAACCAAAACCTTTTTGGTAAGTGACTCATAAAACATTACCCACTGGTTTTCACTGGGCGACTTTTATTGTTACTCCTAAATCAGCATTTTCAGAAACAAAGTCACAAAATTTCGCTGTGGTTTATCAGGTACAACTTGTCTCTCTACTTGAGACCCTTAAACACTATTGAAAAGCTACTAAATAGGGATTTTTAAAAATCATTACTAGTGAATTGAGTGGATAGAAAAGTCCTGTTCCTGAAAGGTTGATAATTACAATGCCTACTACCTGCTAACTGGGGGTATAACTAATTTTCCTTTAACAAGAGATCACATTTGCTCAGTTGACTGAGGGAGAGATTGCTAATGAAGAGAACACCCAGGAGAATAAAATTATGTTTGAGGATGATTTATCAAAACTTTTAAACATACTGGATGCATTAATTTCAAATTATGCAAAGGCCTCTGAGTCAACATCTCTTTGAGCTGAGATACTTCTTTTGTGTAATTAAAAAAGAAAGCAGTAAGACAGAATTGTTCTTATAAAGGCCAGGAAAATGAATCAGTATTGAACAGCACAGCTTCTTTACAAGTTTTTAGAAAGTGGAAATTGTAGAAAATATAATGGATTTATATTTCTTATATAGAGGCAAACCCAAAGCAAAGAGCATAAACAAACTAGAGAAGGAAACTAAATTTGTAGGAATCCACATCCAGTAGCAATATAGAGATGGATCTGTGTAGTTATCAAATGTTCCCAGTTGACTGGGGCTTGCTCCCTTAGCACGTGTAAGTCAGGTACTTGAGCCATGGGAGCTTGAGCAGGGGCACAAATGTGTCCTATTTTCTGTCCCAGTGAGGTGCTCAAAATCATATGGCACTTGGTTAGGCATGCATATTCCATCAAAAAGCCAATCACCTGAAATAACTGTTGTACACATAAAAATAGAAAGTTAATGTTGCCTCATTGTTTTAGTTAAGCAGAATAAATCAAGAGGGGGAAACTAAGCTACTTTTCAGATAGTAATGCAAACCAAAAAGAAGAAATCATTAAATTCATACATGCTAAAAATTAAATTAAAATTGAACTTTCAAAATAAAAGATGATGCTAAAAAATGGGGCAATTAGAAAGCACTTGGTAAATTAATTCATGCTGAAATATAAATCCCAATTACTTCTGAAACTCTTGGTTAACAGATAAACTAAGTTAAATCCTAAGTTTTCTCAACAAATACTTATTGAGCACTTACAATGTGCCAGACACTGTGCTAGAAACTAATTAAAAACAAGTAAAGCTTAGAAAATTTTCAGGGAAACAACAGATAAATGGATTACATATAGCTAAGGAGACCATATATCATTATTTGTCAGGCATGGTCCTACTGTGCACCTGTTGGCCTATCCTGTCCTGATGTGGATGACATATAGTCTCTTCTTGATTTAATGCAGCCAAGCCATCCCCACCAACATGAAAAGAAACTCGTAATAATCTCAATCTTTAGTTTTCTCACTTATTCCCTCATTATGGTCCTTGAGCATTTGCAAAGTCTTTCAAACTAAAGAACTTTGCTCAGTCATTCATTCTTAACAAATTCAACTATTTCTTCAATTTAACATAATGTGTTCCTAGCATGATATGGGAAAAACAAAAGTAGGAGGGCATTTCAGTCTTGTGGAAGAGACTGGGGGTGTTTCTCATTTACAGCAACACATGATGCTACAGCTAGGCACAGAGCACTGGGGGGGCTGCTGGCCAACTTGCAGTGTTTGATTTTCTCAGGAAGCATACTGCATATCTGAATTAATACCTACTATACTTAAGTAGTAAGTCAGGAAAAACTGTTGGTGGGAGGGAACATAATATCTTCACAAACAGTTTACCCTTAGGTGAAACTGGTAGACTAAGAATGCATGGATTTTAGAGAATTTGAAATTCTTTATTCCTTTCTCCTTGCTTCTTTGAAAGTTACAGTGTTTTTCCTTGAATGTTAGTTTTGTAAATTAAAAAAAGACATCGAATAGTTTTTAATTCTGATTTCTTACATCTCCATGACTTCAACTGTTACATGCCCATACAACTGTTGCCCAGTGATTCAGGTATTTATCTTAACCAGTATTCTGGTTTCCCCCAACATGTAAGTCATAGTTTGTTTCATAAGGTTCTTCAAAAAGCAAAAGGAGAGTAAAGAGTTAGGATTAGGAAAGGTCTGTTTTATGCATCTGCATGAAGCCTCACATACAGACCACATCTTGTTTCCTTCCAAGCCAGAGTAAAGCATGGGTATTGTAGACCACTTAAGAGTCTCAAGATTCTGACTCACATATAAATAATGCATTTTTCCCTCTTTCTGTAAAAATTATAATATACATATATTTTTTTCCCATAAGGAAACACAACAATATTTGTCAGGGACACTGTCCGGGAGGAGTGATTCTTGAAGATCTGGTTGATTTAATGACCCCTTGGCATAATGTTTGGGAGATTAAGAACCGTTTGAATATTTTGCAGGAATAGTTGTAGGCTCTAAATGGCCACACTGCCATAGCCTGAGTTCGCATAGAAGGAGTTGGACTGTTTTCCTTAGACCCAAGCAAAGAGAAGTCTGATTGCACTTAGATTAATCAGCTGAGGACTGAGGGTATTTTCATTGTACCCTAAGATAGAAATTTAGATTCTTGTTGAAGGTGTTGTGTACAGACATCACAGTAGCTTCTCTGAGAAATTCATGTTTGGTCCATGTGTGGGTAGATAGTCACCTTAGGAAAGGCTGAAGTTTCCTAATACCCGAAAGTGATTATGTCAGGATCAGAGAAAGAATTTTACTATAAGATTTATGCACTTGGTTTCAATATCTCATTGACAGTCTTAATAATAAGTCTCTTTTTGGTTTCTTACTAGAGTGAGTTTAAGAGGCTGTATGTCCCTAAAGAGTGAACACCAAAATGATCATTTAAGTATTTTATCCTTAACTCATATAGAACATATCCTGTCATAATGGAAAGAACCCTAGGCTTTGGAGACTCACTTAGTTCAGGTAATGGCTCTGCCAGGTTTAAATGGGTAAACTTGCTAAACTGCTTAATCTCTTTGAGACTGGCTTTCCCTGTCTGAAGAAAATAAAGATGATGCTCTGTCCCTGCAGAGTTCTTGTGAGAAAATAGGAGTACAAACAAGAAGCCCAGTGTCTCATATATAATAGATGTTTAATAGTTGTTGGTGTTCTTCCTCTTAAGCTAAATGTTCATCCCTTTCTCCCTATTACAAATATCTACACTACTTTCCAAGCACATAAAGGGTGTTATATAACTATAATATAGCACTTCTAAAAAAATGAGGACATCTATTCTATAAAACAGTAATAAAATATTCTAGAATAAACCCCATTCTTTATAATTAGTAAATCCTGAAAAAACCTAGGGAAGGTCAGAAGCTAGACCTCTTTCCATGGTTATTACTTGAAGCTTCCATCAAATAGTTTCTGCCACAAAAACATAAAATACACAGATGCTTTTACGAGTATATTTTCCTAAGGCCAAAACATGTAGTAATTTGAGACTGGTGAACAGATGTTCATTGGGTTTATTACGTTGTAGTCAGTTGGAATTTCTGCTTAACTTACTATAAATTTTCATTGATTTTATTCTAATTGATGATTAGAGTCATTGAAGATGACAAATTTATCTTCCCCTGAATACATTCCTAGATGGACAGTGTTTAGGTCACTATGAAGAAAATTTATTAAAAAGTCATGAGATTTGTATACGGCATTTGTATATTCTATATATTCTTTTTCTGTTGTGGGCACAGGATGGTACAACTCTGTGGTTTCAGATTTCACTTAGAGACTCATGCCTTTCACTCTGGAGGGGCATTTGTACCCTCAAGTGTACAAGAAAGCTGTCTCAGAGCTCTCTGATAGGTAGAGCATTGATTGTCTTTGCTTGTACTATGTCTGTGTTACCTTTGGGGGACATCTGCAGTCTTCTTGGAAGAAATTATAAGTTTCAACAGTTTCTACGCACATAGGAAATTGGCAGGAAGTCATACTTAATGAAGTTTGGAAATCTGCAAGTCTAACCACGTAGTGAGATTTGATCTTATAGGTTATTTGGGTTATTAGCCAGGAGCTCAAACCAAGTCCTTGTTGTCATGATCAAGAATTCGCCTCGGCTTTTGTTTTCCAGAGCCAGCCAGGGGACCAGGCTGCTCTCTTCGCTGCACAAGCCCGGCCGTCCCCTCAGCTTCCCCAGTATCCAGGGCTACAGCAGGCACAGGTACTCACGTTTGCTTTGTACATGCTGCTGGGATTTTTAATGTTCTTTATTTGAAGGGAGAAACCAAATAAATAGATGACCAATTCCCTTATGGGGTCTAGAACTTCATTACTACTTCTGCTTATAGATTATAATCGACCTTTTGTTAAGAGTATTACCAGTGATTGTTGAACAAGTCTCAGGATTGACCGATTTAAAGAGCATAAAACATTTTAGGAAATTCTTGAATTAAAACCATAAGGAAACTCAAACACCCTTAATGATAATGGTAGATAAGGAAATGCTTAACAGTCCCAGAGTATTTATTTTATGTTATGATGTATAATGATGTAAGTCAGTATTGAATTTACCATATTAAAAGATAGCATTGCAGAGGAATCATTGTAGAAGAAGAAGTTAATTCATCCTGGAATCAGACCTTAGCACAATTCCTGGTGACTTAACTAGCTGTGTAACTGACCTTGCAAGCTACTCTGAGTCTTGGTTTCCTCTGTAAAATAGAGATGAACACTGTGAGGATCTGAAAACCTATAGAACCAGTATAGCACCAGATACACAGGAGCTGCTCAACAAATGATGGACTTGCCTTAATGTAATGCAACTCTTGAGCTATTTTTCTAGTAATTTTGTAATTTTTACATCCACATACTTTTACTCAATCACTCTCATAAATCAGGGACCTGAAGGAGGTTGGCAAGACTGCTAGTTGGGGCTGATAAGTCATATTGTGTCCACAGCTGGAAAACCAAGATTGGCTTTCATAGACATTGAGCCCTACAGTGGATCCATGCACACTCCCTGCTGGAAGTTCATAATACTTACTCTGTCTTCCAAGTCAGAGCCTTTAAACTACCTTATAATGAGGTGTGTTGAGGATTTGAAGAACAGTCCTCTTTCTTGTGAACCATACATGGTAGTGATCCAGCAGAACCCCAGATGTTTCATTTACATGAGGTGTCAAGATTTAGAGAAACAGGCCTGCATGTATTAATATTGAATAGACAAATGAAGCATTCATATTACTGTGAGAGTGCTGACAAAGGGCTGTAGTCCAGCAAGTTGCCAATTATACCCTTACTCTTTGCTTAAGATAGTAATTTTTTTTTCTTTATAACTGGTTAGTTAATACAGGCAAATTCATTAGATCCAAGGAGGTGTAGTCACATATCAGCGTACTCCATTATTTTAATTTACAGTGAGCATGGGTAGCTTTTCTGACCAATTTTGGAAACGATATTAATGATGCTGAAATCTGTTGAACATTGATGTCATCTGTGCACAAAAATATAAATGCTCGCCTGATTATTTCTATACAGAAACATGCCCAACCTTCCCTCAAAATAAGCAGTGATCTTAACACTGATCTTGTAACCAAATGAGAATTTCTTTTTTAATTGACAATTCTGGTGAATTGTGATAACAACTAGTTCATTCTACAGCTTTCTAGTTAGCCTCTGCCTCCAGCATAGTCCTCATATTTTGTGTTACAAGAGGCTTTAGAACAGTAAACTTCAGGGAGCTGCCCCATATCTGTGTTTGCCCCATATATCTTAGTGATAGGAAAGCTGATGGTAAATTGAAACACTGACTTAATTCCTTGTGTGTGCCACAGGCTATGCCCCAGGGTTATACGATGTATGGAACACAGATGCCATTGCAGCAAAGCCCGCAGCAGCAGGCTGGCAGTGTGGTCCTGTCTCCCAGCTATAACTCCAGAACCTATCCGGCTGCACATTCCAACCCAGTGCTGATGGAAAGACTCAGACAGATGCAGCAACTGCCAAGCGGCTATGTTCAGCAGCAGACGTCACCGTACCTGCAGCCTTTGACTGGCTCTCAGAGGTGATACATTTAAAAATAGTGATTGTGATAGTTGACACTCAAATTCTTGTCTTTGTTATGCTTTTGATAGCTTCTGATAGGCATGGTGCTTTATAATTGTTTTTATGAGCTTGCATATTTTCATTTAATTTGCATTCTCTCATCTCATTTTTAGTAGCTTCAGAGAGAGGTTCAAAATAAGCAGTGCTCTATTTGTTTATTTGATTCAAGGCCCTTTTAGTTTGACTTTTATCTCCCATAGCATGTGTGTAACATTTTTTAATGACACCACTATGTTAGCCCCAGTATTCTTTCTTTTCATCTCTTTTAAAAAGCTTTTTTGACTAAGTGTCTAAGATAAAAAATTGTTGATTATTGTTAGCAATGCCGTACTAGAGCAGGTTGACCAGAGCCATAGAGCCCATGATTGCAGTGTGCTTTATGCATGGTACCACTTCGTGGATGGTTGGCAAAACAGGATCATGAAAAACTCCTTTTCAGTTCCTGCTTTAATTGGGCCCTGTAGATAGAGTATATAACTATACAGTCCACTATAGCAGCCAGCTAGCCCACCTGTGGCCTATTAAACTCAAATGACAATTTTAGTTCCTCAGACACCCTAGTCACATTTTAAGTGTTCAGTAGCCACCTGCAGCTATCAGAGCTAGTTGGTGTGTGTGACCTGTACAGTCCCACAGGACACTGTGTTTAGAAGGCCCCTTTAATTTAATGCCCTTCCTGTCACCCTCTTGAAATTATTACCAATTTTTATTCAGGGAGCCCTGCATTTTTGTTTTGCACTGAGACCCAGAAATTTTGTAGATGGTCCTGGTGGCCAGTGGCTATTTTATTGGGCAACACAGATGGAGGATATTTCAGTCATCGTACAAAGTCCTGCTGGGTAGCATTTCTCTAGAAGAAACTAATTTCTTGCAAAATTTGTTCTGTAGTGGACAGCAACTTAGCCCCCATGTATCACCATCAGTGGCTACACACCAACTCCACATGGTCAGTGTATAGAAAGTTAGCAAAGCCAGTGCAAGCACATTTGGGAAGATAAATTTGTACAACCTGCACTATATTATTCTTCTAGTAAGTGACAGCCTAGCATATTGCCTACGAACTTGAACTTCAGAGCCCAGCAATTCTGGGTTTAAATCCTATCTTTGCCATTTGCTGTCTGAGTAATTTTGGTGAGTTACTTCTCTAGTTTTGTGTTTTCTCATTTTTAAAATGATACCAAAACTACTAACTTCAAAGGGCTGCTGTGGGGAGTAAATGAGATATAACACATTTCAGACTTACTACAGTGCCTGTTCCAGAGTAAATGTTCCATTAATGTCACTTATTATTAAAAACCGTTAAAACATTTTTTAAAAGTAATTTATACATGACTGCAATTTTACCTGAAGTAGTAAGCATGTTTGCTGTCCCTTGTTATGTGATCCCATCTATCCCTGAGAATCTAGATTATTTTAACCCCTAGCTTTTACTGCATGTGAATTGTACAAGCCATTGTCTACCATGGTCATTTCTTTGTGAGTGTGTATAACATCCCAGTGGTACTGATTACAAATTTGATAGAACCCTTAGGCCTGAAAGCAAGTCATGTTATTCTTTACCAGACTGAATCATCAGGCCCTTCAGCAGAGTCCTCTGGTGGGGGCAGGAATTGAAGCAGTGCTGACTTCTGCACATCCAAACCTTCCTCCTGTGCCGCTGCCCCAGGACCCAATGAGGCCCAGACAGCCGCCGGTTCGACAGCAGCAGAGGCTCCTCCAGGTACGGGGCTGGGAGTGAGGGCCATGTGTCCCAGGTCCTCAGCATCATAGGAACTAACAGGTACTTCAGACTTTAATTGCCACATTTCAAGGAACCATGAATGTTTGACAGTAGGAGCCAAACTGTAGCTGGTGTTATTTAGTTCCAACGTGGGAAGGGTCATCCCTTCTGTGTGCGTCCGCCAGGTCACAGGCAAGAGAGTGCATTTTGCCAGGTGTCCTTCCCTTTTCACAAAGGTTTGGGAGGGTAACTGGATGCCTTTATCTTCATAGTGTGAGCCTCAGCTTACCCAGCCATGCCATTTGAAAGCCATATGTCGTATATGTGTTTAAAGAAAAAGCTAAAATCGAGCTGTCCAGAGGTTTCATCAGATTCCTAGCCTTCTAGGGTCTGTAATTCAAAATTTGTTCCTGTAGAACCTCTGGTCTGATACAGCTGTGAAGATGGGAGTTGTAGCAGGTGGGGTATTTCATCTTGTCCCTGGTAGATCTGCAGAGCTAGCCTTCACCTATTTGATGTAAGTATTTAAGTTGCCTAGGTAAAGCATTTCTCCCCTTGACGCATTTTTGCTTTTAACTTCCTCATTTAGGAAATACAAGCTGTTAGGTACACCTGTTCCATTTGTCTTCATTATTAGCAAGCTTGTCCTATGTTATTAGATTGAGGATTGTGGGATGTGTCTGTACAGTGGACTCTAATCTTAGCATCAGTCTGTCTTGAGACACACTGTCATTTTATGTTACTAAGAAGAAAAAGAAACAGCACCAGAAAGGGAGAGTCTAGTAGAGCTGGGATACCCATGAGCTATACGCTAGGTCTGAGGCCACTGAGAAATAAACCTGTCATGCAGACAACAGCAAAGGAACTTGCATGTATCATACCTGGCACTGGATGGAGGAAAGGAAAAATAGCCCCGAAGAATCTGAACCACAAAGTGGGTTTGAGGTCTGAATTCAGCGTAATCCAAAAATCTGGTTGTCAATGCCTCCAGCTGACAGGCAGAAGGCAACACAGATCCTCAGTAGAACTGGGCTTTACAATTACAAGATGCCATTAGTTATAAGATGCTGTTAGTTGTGTCCCAATTTTTGCCTGTTAAAATGTGAATAAAGTTGTATCAGAAAATTGATAACACACAGTAATTGGGGGAGTGTGGCCGGTCCCACTCCTAAGGATCTCCAGTGTGCTTAAAAAAACAAACAAAACCCTAATTGTGAATTTTGTCATAGGTAGAATGGAAGTAATTATACCCACTCCTTAAATGCAAAGTGAGAATTTAATAACAAAATGGAAGTAAAGTGCTGGTCTAGTAATGCCACTGTTAATATCACCATTAATACGATTATGAGTTCTGAGGATGAACTCTGTGTTATGAGGATTCGTTTCAGAACTTTTAAGGGCTGATATTTATGTCTCCTTTTGTTTTAAAATTTCTCATTTCTAAACTTATGAGAAAAGTTATACATTATTTGTTTATTTCCGGCTGCCTGTCTTACACTGGTGTATTTCAGGGCTGCACATTTTGAAAACATTTCTGTATTGGTTAATGTGTACTTTTTGTCCTAATTAGCATAATATGCCCTTCTAGTAATTTTTTCATCACCAACTCATTTCCTGGAGGTGAGGAAAACTCATTTGCCTTCTCCATCAGGATTACATTTATTCATTTTCTGCTGATTTACTACCTCTATAAAGGAACAAATTAATTTATGAAGTTGGGTTGATTTTTTTTTGAAAGACTTCACAGAGAGGCAAAAAGAGAATTGGGTTCATTCTGCAATCACTGTGTTTCTGGTCCAACTTGCATTGTTCATGTTGCAAATGATGCAGCCCAGACCCTCTGCTAGGATCCCATTTCCACGAGCATTGCCACTTAGTGAGAAATACCAGCTGGCAGTAGCTTTTAATTACCTTGCCTTAAAGTAGACAAATAATCTGGGGGTTATTATGCAAGCCAAGTAGCAAAATGCAAAGGATAAGAAGTCTGGTGCTGTCATCGTCAAGATGAAGTGTTTAGGTAGAGGAAACTCCAAAGGTTATTGAGACAAACCACCTATTAATATTCTTCTCTCTTCTGTGCCCCACCCAGTGCATGTCCAGTCAGTATTTCTTCTGTGATTTAGAAGGTTTTCCAAGAGCTCTTTATTTGAGCCAACTGACACAGTTTATGTTTTTAAGCTAGAAATTTATGAAATTTATGTCAGAACCTCTCACATATACATCGTCCTTTAAAAAAAAAATCTGATCTTTAAGAACTACTCTTCTTCCTTCCCCCACCACCTTCTTTTTTAAAAAGTCCACATCTTCCTTTAAAAAAAAAAATCTAATCTTCACGAGTTCCTCCAGATGTCATAGGGCATGAAAAAGTAACTACTTGGCAGTCCTTATCTAATTTGGTAGTATAAGATAGGATAAAGTATGTAGAAGAGCAGAAACCACGAAAAGAGTTAAAATAACTAAGTACAAAAGGTGTCCGCAGACAGCAGAGGGTAGGGCTGACGGTAAAACCTGAGCTACAGGAAGAGATCCTTGGGGTTGGAGTAGGCTTCACAAGGAGCGGGCTTTATGAGCAATGCAGGTGGGTCTTGGCACTGAAAAATGTACAATGTCTGGCAAGGCAAAGATGGAGAAGGCAGGTGTGTGTCATTTTTGTTACAACAAAATAATGAGATAAAAGGTATAAGGTGGTTGGAGATTGGAATGATACTAACCACTACATTTAGGTGCATAATTGCAGTCCTTTTTCTTTCTTCCCAGATGCAGCAGCCCCAGCAGTCCTCACAGCCCCAGAGTCAGACCCTTGGCCTCCAGGCGATGCAGCCCCAGCAGCCTTTGGTAAGGCTTGGTAGTTGAGACCCAAACATGGTGTTCTTTAGAGGCAGATGTATTTTTCACATCCCTTAAGATTGTTAAGAATTGAAGTGGCCTAAATACACCCCAGCAGTTTTTCCGAAGAACTTTATCAGAGGAGGATTGTGGTGGTGGCATAGCCGGTATATTTGTTTTCATAGCAAGGCATAAATAAATATTTGGAATTCAGTAAGTTATATAATTTTCCTCTTCAGATTTTTTCAGACTTTTCCACAGACTAACATATTTAATACTGAGTTTTTTCCTAAATAATGTTAAAATGAAAATTTACTATATATGTTTAGAAGATTGTCTTACTTTGTATTTTTATAAAATCTCAAAAAGACAGGAGTGCTGTCTAAAATATTATCTTTAAAGTAAAAGAAACTCTGATTTTAACCAGTTAGCATTTTCTGGAAGAATTTTTATGGAATTCATTGTCATGTAACTTATTATTATATAATTCACATTCACTTACCTAGCTTTGTAGATCAAATTTTGAAATGTTATGTGCACAACATCAGTGTTTTCTGAACCTCAGTAATTTACAACACCTTTACTTTTGCCAGGTGCCATATCCCTGCTTTATTATTTACTTACTATGTTTCTTTTAATTGCCTCTTTTTCTATTTACTTAAATGTGTTCTAAAAAGAAATACTTTTATCTCTACCATCAATGGCCCCATTACTTGGCACCTATTGGAAATATCTGTAAAAATAAATACTCTGAAGGTAGCTCAGCAACACTAGTTGTGTGTGTAAGTACTACCTAAGCCGAGCTGGCTTAGCACGCATGTCCCACACTTTGGGAGACCCTGGTGTAGACTCTTGTCAGAGCAGGATTTAAAAGATGGATGGTTTTGGAACTTACAGTAAAGAAAGAAAGTTGTAGTACATTAGGAGGAATCAAAGTAAAGTTAAGTGGTAAAGGACTGGCAATGTCCAAATAAGACTGATAGTGGGAGTTGCTGAAACAGGACATCTCAAGTGGATTTTTTAAGCTTCTGCCTTGGCTGACTTGATCTCCACCTTTAAGGAAATTCTTCTTCATCATAGATTTAGCTTTAGCTGCTATTTCCATTTTAAGGAAGAGCTTTCCAGCTTTCCCTTCTTCCCTGTTTGGCTATCTGTCTCTGTTTAAGTTACGTTTTAAATATGAAACTTAACATTTGATTGGCTCATTTTAAAATGTGCCACTCCTGGGATGAGTTTAAAGCCTTCCTGATGGTTGTATATGACATCAACCAGATTAAATTTGCCAATTTAAAAATTCACATTCCACAGTGCCCATTAGTATATCAGTCAGTAAAAAAGCTTAAAAACTGTATACAGCAAAACATTATGGTAGTACTTTGACAGTTAGCCAAGAAAGAAGTGATACCGTGTCTGCAAATTATGTCATGTTGAATGTTTGGAGTATGTGATGTTGATCTGGAAATTCTTCAGCCTTTCCTCCTGCCTGATTTAAAGCAAAGAGTACTCATGTTGTAATGCTCATGTTAGTAACAGAGAGTTATGTAAAGAACTGGGGAAAAAACAAAATATAATTACATCTTTTCAAAGATTTAATTGCAAATTCGTAATGAGTATTTGATTAACCATTATAAGGAACCCATTAATTTTAGAGCTATAACTTCTTTAGTCATCACTAATAAGAAAGGGGTTAGGTAATGCTGTAACAAAAGAACACACATTGAATATAGGACTATTTCAATTACTTTGGCATATATAACCATATGATATCCCACATTTTTAGCTCTTTTTTAGCATTTGGTTCATATATGTAAATAAATGTCATATATGAAATATGCCTATATATGTGGCTCACAAGTAACAAGAAAATCTTGCCATATATACATTAAACCTATGTATTTATTTATATTTATGTATATTTTTCTATATATTTAAAATCTATATATTTAATTACACAGATACATAGTTGCCATCCTATGACTGTGAGTTTTACTTTTCAAAAATGCCTACTTTAATTTGTGGGCACATGACCTTATAACATAGTTCATTATTTCAACAAAAAACTTTAATTGAATTGACATCTGCCATTAAGCAGACATTAACAATATCTCCATTAATCTTTTTCTTTGGCCCTTTTATCCACCTATTATTAAACATTATTTTAGTTGGCTTATAATGTAACATGTAGTAAATAATATAAAATGCTAAGCTTTATTCTCAGAGAAACATGCTACATAAACACAGGAAGAAGGATTATTAATATCAAATGCCTGAACTGTAACATTATTTGGGTAGTATAAAAAATAAACAGTTAATTCTAATACAAAGTTAAGTTTATAGGGCTGGGGTGAAAACTGTCTAAACTTAACTATAATTTGAAGCAGAGGATGCAGAATTGAGAGGAGATACTGTGTCATGTTCTACTAGAATTAAAGAGGATCTAACACAAGGGAATTTGGCCTCATCTAATAGTTTCATAAATATTTAAGTAGTTGTATAAATAACATGAACTTTATTCAGTTTGACTTTTTTTACAATTACTGACATTTTTAAAATGCAGTAGGTTGTATTTTACTCACTAGCTTGAAATACTTCCAATCCAGGGATTGAGGTTAGTCAAAACAGGGCACATGATTTTTCCTAATCATTTCATAGGAAAGTAATTCCAGAGACACAAAAACTCTGTTACAGCAATCTTAATATATAAGCCTCAGTAGGCTTTTTCCAGTCCCCCTTGCATTTTTTAAGTAAAAGTCTTTCAAAAGCTCTCTTGAGAAGACCACTGTCTTATTTTGATATTTAGAGCACTATACATTGTAATCTAAGCAGTAATTATTTATACAAGGGCAGAAATATTATAGAGGTTGTAAGTCTTAGGATGGGCTAGGAAGTTTATCATTTAATAAGAGTGAAAGATTTCAGATAATTTCAGAATTAGAAGTTATAAGGATGATCAATGATGTTGGATTTTTTTCATTATTATATTTCTTTATGAAAGCATACTTTTATTTAGCATACTTGCTTATACTTTTAAGTTTATTAATAAGTCCACATATTAGTTTAAAAAAACCCTGTGAAGTCAGTTATATTGGTATTATTTGCTTAACAACCCCACCTACTGTTGAACATTTAGATTGCTTCCAATTTTAAAAATAGTGTTGCTCAGGATATTTTGGTATATATTCTATTCCTCTTTTGTGGTCCTCTCACAATAGAAGAAAATAAAAGTATAAAAGGTTATCTCTAATTACATATCCTCAGGAGAGTAATAGCACAACGCCTCAACAATATTTAGAAAAATTTTACGTTTCTTTTTTATCTTTTGGCATTATTCCTTTTATTATTAGTCCCCCTAAGAATTATTATGTGCATTATAAATATATGTATTTATATTTATTGTAAACATCTCCAGCAGATCCAGTTTCGTTACTGGCCAAAGTTGTCTTTCTTTCTTTCTTTCCTTCTCTGTTGAGGGTGGTGCAGTAAGCTGGCTGCTGAAGAATAGCCAGCTCTGACTCATTCCGAGTTCTGATTCATGCAGTTTTGGAGGAGAAGTGGTAGTGGTAACAGAGCCACCACCCTTCCCATAACTTGCCCTGCCACTCTCTGGTGATAATTGCAAGTCAGTTTGACAAGTGCTTTTTCACCATGTACAGTAGCGGCCAGCATTCTGCCAGGTTCTGGGGCACACCCCTGGAGTGTCAAGCATGCTCTCTGCCACCACACGGCCAGACTCAGAAGGTACTGTGGTGTGGCTGCACTGCGTATGGAAAGCAGGAGAAGCCCTAGAGAGGCTGTGTTAGCTGCTAGGGCTGCCAAAACAAAGAATCACAACTGGGCAGCTGAAAGGACAGAACTGTATTGCCTCATGGTTCTGGATACTGGAACTCCCAAGATCAAGGTGTAGGCAGGGTGGTTCCTTCTGAGGACTGTGAGGTGAAAACCTGCAGACCTCTCTCTCCCTCACTTGTGGTGGTTTTGCTGGCAGTCATTGGCATTCTTTGTCTAGTAGAAATGTCACCCTAATCTCTGTCTTCACCTTTTCATTGCTCTCATGACACTTTCACTGTGCTAGTGTATGTGTGCACATTTCCCTTTTTTATAAGGGCTCCAGTCATACTGGATAAGGTCCTATCCGAATGATCCCTTTTTTACCTGATCCCCTCTGCAAAGACCTTATTTCCAAATGAGGCTGCATTCTGAGGCACTGAGGGTTAGGACGCCAGCATGCATTTTTGGGGGAAGGAACATAATTCAAGAAGAGTATGAGATGTTGGGAAGCTTGAGAGCAGAAGAAAGTTGGATGCTGTGGACCCTGAAAGGCTGTAGGATTTGATTGGCTGCTTCTTTTATTATTCCCTTGTGGGTCTGTTCCATTACTGACAGTAGCTGGTGCATGAGGGACAGTGATTGCCAACACCCACATAAATAGGTTGGTTAGTGCTATAAAAAGTGTATGTACGAGTCAAAACTAACTTAGAAGAGAAATTGGTTCTTTCTCAAAAAGTATCATCAAAAAACAGCTTTTATGTCAAAAGAGCAAGAACAGTACAGAAAAGCCCATGCTTACAAAGTAAACCTGGTGTCAGCTTAATTAACATCAATGCCTGTGTTCTCATTTGCTTACTTAAGTCATTTGCTTCTGTGAAAAGAAGAGCATCTGGAAAGGAAGACAGGATGTCCTTGCTGGAAACTTATATTTGGCTTCTAGATTTGGCCTAAATTACTGTTCTTGACTTGAACAGTAGTTTTGAAGCGTATGACTTGCAATGATTAAATTAACTCCTAACTAAATACAACCATGATCTTTTCTTTAAAGCCACTTGCAGCTTTTAAGAAAATCATGTTTACACAGTCCTGCTGTGTCATTTCTTTTCATCTTAAACTCAGGGTGTCCTAGGTGGTTGACCTTAAAACATGCTAATAGAGAGCTTTAAAATGCTGGCTTTTTAATTTGACTGATCACCGTGTCAGTATCATATTGAATGCCTTATAAAAATATGCATAATGACAGTGATTTTTACCTAAACAATTGAATTAATTGTCTTTAGTCAAAGATCACATGTGAAATTGGTGTCTAGTCATCCTCCAAAAATTTGAGTGTTCTATTCAGAGGAATTGAGAAATTTTTCCAAATGTCTCTGAAATTCAGAACGAGCCAGATACTATTATTCTCCCTTACAGATGGAAGAAAGTATGTCCAGTGAACCTTATTGGACACTGTCACCTTCCTTTGCATGAATTTAGAATTTTTGTTTCCTTTTTGAAGAGAAAGGAGAAGTAATTTATACAAGGAGGAGAATGGGGAAGGGATTCTCTGGAGATTTCTGGTAATAGGACAGATATGTCTGAATTTTTTTTTTAACTGATAGACTACAGATTTTGTTTCAAATGGCTGCATACAAGTTAGTAATTATCTTGCATAATAAATACATATGAAATGCCCTGAAGTCCATTGGTTTCTGGTCCTCTGAGCAGGCTGCCCCGCAGGTGGGGGTGGCTGGGCATGGCTGTCCCAGAACTCAGTGAGGGCCCGGCAGTGCCACGGTCCATTCTGCGGGAGCTGGTACCCATTCCTCCCAGGAACCCAGAACTCTCCATGGACTCTGTCAGATGTTAGTAGTGCAGGCTTAAGGTTAATGTTGCCTTGGTGCTCTGTCTTTTGCTCACTGACTGTGTGGTCCTAGGTTTCAGGACCCAGCTGTCAGGAGGCAGGGCCTGTATTTTATTCATTCTGATGTCCCTAGAACCCCCAAAAGCACCCGGTTTGGAATAAGTGTAGTTAAATGGCTCATTTGCTGAATGTCATCACAGTGAAGGAGAACAATGTGCACATTATCCATTAAGTGAAGGAAAACAGTTCAGCAGGTAAGCCATAGGCCACCTGTAAAGGCCCTCTGGTGACTGAATCCACCTGCTGCTGATGGTGGTGAGTTGGCCCCTGCTGCTGGGACGGGAGTCCAATGGAGTCAGCTTGTCTGAGATGACAAAGATTCCATTACATTTATTTAAATAGAAGTTACAACTTAGTGATGCATTTTTGCCTTAGTAATGATTGAGCAGATTTATTATTCTTGAATAAATGTGTGTTGTCAAAATAAGGGTATAGGGAATAGTGAGAATACACAATAATACATGTTTAAATATTTTTTTTAATTCAGCAGAGAACCTGTTTACAGAGAGCAGCTGCATCAAGTTGGCTAGTTACACTTGACTGACGTTGTTGAGCTCTGTGCTCTGCTGTACGGTTGCAGCGGGAGCACGGCACAGCTCCTGCCAAGCCACTCAGAGTCCAGAATATTAGAGAAGCAGTTGTCATGTTACACTGTGTGTAATAAAAAGGCATCTACATAGTACCGAGGATACAAGAGCAGTGATTCACTTTTCAAATGTCTTAAGATGGTTGAAAGATGAGTAGATTTTTCAGCACATATAGGGTAGGATGATGTGGGAAGGAAGGGTATTCCAGGAGGAAGGGTTGACGTCTGCAAAGGCACAGAGCTCAGAGAAGCCATGACCACCTGTTGCATGGATAGTTCAGAGATACTTTTCCCTCTTCATTTATCACATTTAAGCAGGGAAGGTGAAACATACAGATCGTGATTTTTAGGATGTTTTGTAAACTTCAGTTGACCCTTTTATTGACTGACCTCTTTTGGTAAATTAGAAGTTCCAAATCCAATACAGGGTTGATTCCAAAATCTGGCCAAGCATCAGATCACCCAGAGGAACCATTTAAATATGCAGTTTCCAGCATTTTGCCTTAGAAATTCTAATTCAGGAAGTCTGAGAGGAACCTAGGAGAGTGACTGAATTTCCCCCATGGTCTTATGCTTCTGCAGCCACACACAGGGTCTAGTGTTTTGCAAGAGTTCAGTGACTTGATGTGAAATGCTCGACAGGGAAATTTCTGCAGGAACTTGGTGACATCCTCTCTTTCCATGGTGGTAAATGCTCCAGGGTCCAGGGAACTTGCAGGTGGGGTCTCCTGTCTGCTCACATTCATGTACAGGTGAAAGCAAGTTAAGATTAGTATCAGAGTGACCTTGAGAAAAACCGATGTGGGAAAACACTCCAGTTGAGAGCTCTGCAGGTCTGTAGGTCTATCACACCACTTCCTCCTGGTCAGCATAAGGAAGCTGGTCTCGAATATTTTGGCCTCAGAAGCCCTTCAAATTCAAAAATTACTGCAGACCCAAAGAGCTTTTGTGAGTCTAACAATATTTACTGTATTAGAAATTAAAACAGAAATAACAATACTTAGTACTGTATTTGTCTTGCCAATGGGTTTCAGCCCCAGGCATGTTCAGTATGGACTCAATGTGACCAAAGAAATGACAATAGAATGTTCCTGGGTGAAAGGGTTATACCCAACTTTATTCCCACTGTGGCAGGTCAATCACTAGAATCCCATCCACTCAGAGCGAGTCTGCATGCAGCAAGCCGGTCTCTGCCTCTGGGCCTCTCTGCCCGCACAGCCAGACATCTCCATCTCCTTCTCTGTCCTTGGTGCTGCCACCACTCCAGTCTCTGCTCTCCTAGAGCCTTGCAGCCCAGAGCATTGGGCAGAGCTCTTTATATAGAGTCAATAATGACATATTGCCCACACGTGTGTAGTGAGCTAGCCAACCAGGGCCAGGTAAGAATCCTGGCCACAGGAACCTTCATTTTATCCACAGTACTCTAAACTCATTGTACATTAACCAGAAATAACATTTTTATAAATAATATTTTTTTTTAAATAAAAAGTTAATGAGAAGAATGACATTGTTTTACGTATTTGAAAATTTCTGTAATGTCTGAGGTAATAGAAGACATTCTGTTTGTTGCAGCATAACCTATTATATAGCCTCTGGAAAACTGCATTGTACATTCATGAAAACAGTGAACAAAGCAAATGATGTCTTAGTATTACTATGAAAATGGTGTTGACCTTGTAGATACCCACTGTGGAGTCTTGGAGCCCCCCAGGGATATCTTTTAAGGCCACCCATCAGACCACCCACCATTTTCCAACATGTGTACATCCACACCCACAGGCGGAAGCTTCCCAGTACCTAGTTACTGCTAGGCTCCTCCAAATACAGAATCTGAGGTCCCTGCAACATTTCATTCCCTGAATTACTCTATTTTGAGCGGAGTTTAAGCGAACATGAAAGAAGTCATCTAAATATTTGTTGAATGAGTGTTAAATATGCACAGTGTGCCTCAATTTGTTAATCCAATGATAAGATCACACTATTTTGAACAGTTTAAGTGAACATGAAAGACATCTGAATATTTGTTGAATGAGTGTTAAATATGCACAGTGTGCCTCAATTTGTTAATCCAATGATAAGATCACACATGTTTGCATCCAACTGTTTAGAATCTGTTAATTATTTCCAAATATTCAAAATATTTGGAAGCCATTCTTTCCAGTTAAGGATAGTACTGGATTGTGATTAAGATGGAAGGAGGGCTCCTATGCCCTCCTATTGTGCTTTCGCCCTGGTGTTTCCTACCAATCCTGCACTTGCACGGCCCGGAAGGGAGTGCCCCTGGAAGTTTTGGCGCCCTTGGTACTCCCCAGGCTCGCCCCAGCTATGCCCTGGAGACATCACGCTGTGAGAGGGCTTTGTTGATCTCCCCTCTCCAGTGAGAGCTCAGCCCCAACTGACCTGGGTCCTAGACCTAGGGCCCCACGCTTCCCCCGCAGATCCTCGTTCTCCACTCATGCAAGGCAGGCCTGTGGTGTCTGAACAAATCCTCCAGCCAGGGAGCTTTTCGTTTTTGCCAGTGAAAATCGTTTATAATATGATACTAACTAGCCAACTGGGGACGGGTAAGGTGGTGAGAATATCTGCACCAGGAGGCCATTGCTCGGGTGTGGACTCCTTCAGCAGGCCTCCTCAAGTAAATACTAAGTGACCCCTGGGAGAGTCGGGTTTGAATGGATGAGGCTCTTCCACTGGGGCCCAGGTGCATGCCAGGGTGTGGACAGGGGCTGACGGGCACGGAAGCGATGCCTCTGTCTGCAAGTGTCCGAGCGGTACCGACCCACGGGAGGCGCAGCATCTGCTCGCAGGGGGCGCCACGGGCTGACGTGCCCCCACCCCCCGCCCCTCTTTCCCCCACAGGTCCCCCGACCAGGCCTGCAGCAGACCCAGCAACAGCAGCAGACGGCCGCGCTGGTGCGGCAACTCCAGAAGCAGCTGTCCAGTGAGTAAGGCGGCGCCACGCGCATTTTACGGCTGGTGTCTCTGTTCTGTTTTGGTTCGGCGTTGGGTTGAATAGTTACTTTTGCTGGAAAGGCCCCAGACTTTTTGAGTTCGGTGATATGTCTTCTGCTGCTTTCATCTGAGCTTGGGGGTGTCCGTCCCCTCCGGGAAGCCCCGTGGCCGGAGGCAGCCATCGCTACGAGTGGCCAAGGCCCGCGGGTGCACCGATTTGGGGACGGACTGCTCTCTCCAGTGCACTACCCTCCCCTTGCTGATAACAGCTCAGAGATCTAGTATCAAGCTACATCTCTCTCAACTATTAGAATATCACTGCTGAAGTAGAATCTCTGATGTGCTTTCATAAAACTTTTGGGGACTTTCAGTGTTTTATGAAGCTGAGAATCCTTTCATGTGTATGTTGGTACTGAGTTGTTTCTTGGTTCAGATGGGCCAATTACTGTTATCCCAAGGCCTTGTGCTGGCAGGTGTGGAACTCTGATGTAGGCTGGCCCTGCTGCAGAATAAATTCAGCTGTGGTTGTTAGACCTGCCACTCTGGTCTCCCGTCTAGCATTGTACTCCCTGGCCAGTGTGTTCCCCCATTCCTGAGGCTGGTACTGAGCAGTGACAAGAGGGTATCATCTATCTGTGGCATCATTTTGCATCTGCGATTTTATTTGAATTTACTTTTCTCATTAGGTAACCAGCCACAGCAAGGAGTGACTCCCTATGGGCATCCATCACACTTCTGAACCTGGAAGAGGACAAGACATGCAGTTTTGTGTTTGCACTGAGAAATAGGAACTCAAATTCAATGCATTAGTCAACTTTAGAAATGTCCCTTTATTCTTTAATTTCTTTGAAGTTTCTCTACGTTTTATGCTAGATTTCCTAAAAAGATGTTTTTAAAAAAAACAGGAGGAGGTGTGGTTTGGTGTTTTGGTTGTTGCATTCAACTTCAAAATAGGTTTAAAAGTATGGATCAGGCAGGCCTACTCCAGGAAGAGTTTAGTAGCAGACCTTTTGAAAATTGGTGCTTTTTTTTTGGAATCTCACTGTTACAGAAAAAATGAATTATGATAGATTTAAAATATTTATGTATTCATTCATGATGAAGTGTGTGGGTGTTTTTCTTTTTCTCTTTTTTTTTTTTGGCAAACTGTGCCGGACCAAACTACTGATTCAAAAGGCATGTCAGATCTTGACAGGAAAGTGACCCCTTTATTCTGCATTCACCTTTGATGGTAACATGGACATTTATTTGCATTGCTCTAATTTGAAATATCTGTAATTTCATAAGCACTTTATAAACTTTGTTCTTATTTATGTAGGATTTTTCTTTGCTTTTGTTGTGGTCAAAAGGTGCTGAAACAGATTGTTGCTAATAAGGACTTTAACTTCTTAGACCAAGAACTTCCGCCAAGGCTTCTAGGGGAGTCACACTAAGATACATGGAAGCCTCCTAGGAGTAGCTGTACTCAGATTTGTTTTCAGTGGCAAGATCATTCACCAGAGTCTTTGTGAAGGTACAACATGTAAATTCTAAAGGCTCAAATGAACCACAGTGGAATTGTTCCAATTATTCATTGCCAGATTTGGCAAAAATGACTGTCCAGTTTTGTTCTCCTGAACCCTATGCCAACTTGAGAAAAAAAATCTCACAGCTGGCCTGAGATTCCACAGTGCTCAAATTTGACATGGTTTCCAGAGAATCTGGCCCCTTAAGTCCAGAAGGTTCTGGTTTTCATAAAAGATGTATTTGCTGTTTATTTTGTATGGTAAGTATTTGCTATTTTGAATTTAATTATTAACGGTGTCAGTCTCAGTTGTGTATTGCATATACTGTATTTATAAATTGGTGCAAAAAGCACAAGTAAAGTAAATTATACATCAAATTTATTATAAAGAAATAGTAACTATTTTAACTTTGTTCGGTATGTGGCAATTTGCTCCTATTAGAGTAAAAAACAGTAAATTATTATCAGTTTGTGTAACTTAAGAGTATTCCATATAATATTTTTTTAGATTTAGATGTATAAAATTTTGAATGTGAAATTTGCAGGGCATTTTAAAACATGTGGGGGATATTTTCCCATGTTCTGTGTTAATTCATTTTTTCTTCTGCCATATGATTTTACATGTAATATAGTCAAGCATACTGTGAATAGATTTGTTTGTAATGAGCAAACCATGTAGAACTACTTTTTAAAAAAATGTAGCTGGTATGACTTTAGATTTCTTTTGCAAGTCATTATATAAATAATTTATATCTTCCTAGGTGAGTTACTCATTGCAAAGTTTGACTCAATGCAAACGACCTCAAATCCATGTCTGCTTACTTTCCTGTGGCAGCATCCATGTGAACTGCTTTGTACACTGTGAAACTCTTTCATTCCAGCCTGCTCATTTCGTGTTTACTCAGGGCTGGAAAAGACTTTGCCAAAACATTAAAGACCATTTCTTTTCACTAAATTAACAAATTCTATCTGCTTTCAGAAGACGAATCTTTACATTTCAGCTGATTTTGTATATCAGGGTTTTTTGGTTTTTTTTCCTTTCAAGAACCATACCTAGAGTTCATGAAGTTATTTTTCTTCAAAATAATATATCCATGTAATGACTGCCTTGGCAAAATGACCGAAATGTGAATGTTGTGCCTAGTGAGTAAGTCATGTTCTGTCCTGATTGTTGTTTTCTTTCCTTTCAAGAATTAATGGTATTTAAAATGCCAGTTTTTAGTTTGAACCATATATTTTTATAATTCAATATTGCAAATAGCAGTAATACTGTTTCAAGAATGAGTGTTATAATTGCATAGCATTTGTATGCACTTTATATTTTGCAGAAGTTAGTGGAATTAATTTATTAATCACTTTGCACATGAAAGCTGTGAGTATACCTTTTTTGTTGTTTTCTCTTTTTTTTTTAGGTGAGGAAGCTAAGTCATGGTAAGGCCCTATAATATAAAGAGTCTATTGAAAGTTGAGGGAAAACCTGGGACTGGTTTTCCCCTTCGCATTATAGAGCAATTGGAAATTTTCATCTAGTCTTAACCTCCCACTCAGTCCTATATCCTGAGAGGTCTCATTTTTCTTTTCTAGCTGATGCATTAATTTGCATTAAAATGATCACAAGGGAAAGCCCTAGCCTTTGGCAGAACCTGGCAATTTACTTGGCGAGATACAGAGGAAATTAAGATCAGATGGAGACCCCCTTTCCCCATAAGACTCTGGACTCAGATGCAGTTGGACTAAGAAACCCTTAGGGGATACCTCTTTACCCTGCAAGCTCCTTTCTAGTAGGGCTGCATTTGTCATTTGATTTACTCCTCTTGGCCCGGAAGTAGGGCATCACTGTGAGAATGAGTGTCCTTTGGCCTCTTGTGGCCACAGGGCACCAACATCAGCGACAGCAGCAACTCGGTCATCTCTTAAAGTGGTGCCTGCTGAAAGTTGGTGCGCTGAAAACACCATGAAGTGAGCTCCCTCAGTCTCAAGTGATCGGCAGGGGCCAATATGGCTCTCAGTTTTATGTGCTGATATCTGAGCAAGACCCTAGGGCATTTTCTTTTTCTTTCTCACTTACTAAGGCTCCTATATAATCCTTATATAACAGGTAAATAATTGAAAAGATGTTGGAGAAATTTCTCTGGGAAATCCCAGCCTCTAGAATTAGAAAGAATGAATCGTGTATCCCCCAAATTGATGCAGCTTGAATTAAGCATGCAATATAAATACACAAAAAAAGCATTTTGTGTAGGGCTGATCAAATTTTAAGTACAATGAAACTTTATTATGTGCATTATCTGGATTTTCCCAAACATTTTCCAGTCCCCTAAAGGATTACCACTTAATGAAATAAAATGTTCATAAAGCAATGGTTCCTCCTTGGAAAATTTTTCTTATAAACAGCTCCAAACCAGGCTTAACCAAGCTAGATTTTGAAGTTTTAAAGAAGTTTCATTGTATTTTTAAACCTTTTTAATGGGTTTATTTGGACAAAGGTATAATCAACTCCCTTTTCACATTTTAGTATGTGCAGTTGTTAATTTTTTTTTACATATGGAAAAGTTAGCCTGCATTTATTTTTAAATGCAGTTACTAAGACATTTTTGTATTCCCCATCAATGACAATGCTCAGTATGCACAAAATGTGACTCATAATCAAAACAGTTCAGTTCTTACTTTCTCTAGGGTTTAATAAAATACTTAAAAACCAACCACACAAATATTTATACATCAAAATGATAAATTTACATCGAGACTGCAAATTTAATACTTTCCATTGTCTCTGTTCTTAGTGACATGCTTGTAACTTTGATAGAAGGTGGACACTAGGCAACTGGTAGTGAAAGAAAAAAGTCCATTCTTTAATGAAGAATTCAGGTACATTGACCATTTCTTATTTTACGGTGGAAAGTTCTTTTTAATGTACATTGTTATCTCTTGGCAAAATAAAAGTGCCTTAAGTTAAAAGTTTGTTTTGAGAACCATTAAAGAAATCAGTATCAGTTCATAATGCATTATTCACAAATCTTTTTTTTTTTGCATGTCCATTATAAATTTAATATTGTAAATGTACTCATTCATTTACATGCCTATGGCTGCCTTTGATTAAACTTCCAAAAAATAAACTCTGTCCAGATGTTGGCTTTGTTCAACTAATTTTATTTCATGTCAGATTACTTGAATATGAGTTGTTGCATAATCACTACCCAGCGGATTCTTTGCTGTGCATTTGTACACTCCAGAATCTGAGGTTTGTGGATTCTGAATGACTAGGGTACCTTGTGGGTGCGGAGGCTCAATGTCATGGGCCCTCCCTTTATATGCCCTTGACAGCAGGGAGTGGTCAGGTCAAAAGGTGCTGAAACAGATTGTTGCTAATAAGGACTTTAACTTCTTAGACCAAGAACTTCCGCCAAGGCTTCTAGGGGAGTCACACTAAGATACATGGAAGCCTCCTAGGAGTAGCTGTACTCAGATTTGTTTTCAGTGGCAAGATCATTCACCAGAGTCTTTGTGAAGGTACAACATGTAAATTCTAAAGGCTCAAATGAACCACAGTGGAATTGTTCCAATTATTCATTGCCAGATTTGGCAAAAATGACTGTCCAGTTTTGTTCTCCTGAACCCTATGCCAACTTGAGAAAAAAAATCTCACAGCTGGCCTGAGATTCCACAGTGCTCAAATTTGACATGGTTTCCAGAGAATCTGGCCCCTTAAGTCCAGAAGGTTCTGGTTTTCATAAAAGATGTATTTGCTGTTTATTTTGTATGGTAAGTATTTGCTATTTTGAATTTAATTATTAACGGTGTCAGTCTCAGTTGTGTATTGCATATACTGTATTTATAAATTGGTGCAAAAAGCACAAGTAAAGTAAATTATACATCAAATTTATTATAAAGAAATAGTAACTATTTTAACTTTGTTCGGTATGTGGCAATTTGCTCCTATTAGAGTAAAAAACAGTAAATTATTATCAGTTTGTGTAACTTAAGAGTATTCCATATAATATTTTTTTAGATTTAGATGTATAAAATTTTGAATGTGAAATTTGCAGGGCATTTTAAAACATGTGGGGGATATTTTCCCATGTTCTGTGTTAATTCATTTTTTCTTCTGCCATATGATTTTACATGTAATATAGTCAAGCATACTGTGAATAGATTTGTTTGTAATGAGCAAACCATGTAGAACTACTTTTTAAAAAAATGTAGCTGGTATGACTTTAGATTTCTTTTGCAAGTCATTATATAAATAATTTATATCTTCCTAGGTGAGTTACTCATTGCAAAGTTTGACTCAATGCAAACGACCTCAAATCCATGTCTGCTTACTTTCCTGTGGCAGCATCCATGTGAACTGCTTTGTACACTGTGAAACTCTTTCATTCCAGCCTGCTCATTTCGTGTTTACTCAGGGCTGGAAAAGACTTTGCCAAAACATTAAAGACCATTTCTTTTCACTAAATTAACAAATTCTATCTGCTTTCAGAAGACGAATCTTTACATTTCAGCTGATTTTGTATATCAGGGTTTTTTGGTTTTTTTTCCTTTCAAGAACCATACCTAGAGTTCATGAAGTTATTTTTCTTCAAAATAATATATCCATGTAATGACTGCCTTGGCAAAATGACCGAAATGTGAATGTTGTGCCTAGTGAGTAAGTCATGTTCTGTCCTGATTGTTGTTTTCTTTCCTTTCAAGAATTAATGGTATTTAAAATGCCAGTTTTTAGTTTGAACCATATATTTTTATAATTCAATATTGCAAATAGCAGTAATACTGTTTCAAGAATGAGTGTTATAATTGCATAGCATTTGTATGCACTTTATATTTTGCAGAAGTTAGTGGAATTAATTTATTAATCACTTTGCACATGAAAGCTGTGAGTATACCTTTTTTGTTGTTTTCTCTTTTTTTTTTAGGTGAGGAAGCTAAGTCATGGTAAGGCCCTATAATATAAAGAGTCTATTGAAAGTTGAGGGAAAACCTGGGACTGGTTTTCCCCTTCGCATTATAGAGCAATTGGAAATTTTCATCTAGTCTTAACCTCCCACTCAGTCCTATATCCTGAGAGGTCTCATTTTTCTTTTCTAGCTGATGCATTAATTTGCATTAAAATGATCACAAGGGAAAGCCCTAGCCTTTGGCAGAACCTGGCAATTTACTTGGCGAGATACAGAGGAAATTAAGATCAGATGGAGACCCCCTTTCCCCATAAGACTCTGGACTCAGATGCAGTTGGACTAAGAAACCCTTAGGGGATACCTCTTTACCCTGCAAGCTCCTTTCTAGTAGGGCTGCATTTGTCATTTGATTTACTCCTCTTGGCCCGGAAGTAGGGCATCACTGTGAGAATGAGTGTCCTTTGGCCTCTTGTGGCCACAGGGCACCAACATCAGCGACAGCAGCAACTCGGTCATCTCTTAAAGTGGTGCCTGCTGAAAGTTGGTGCGCTGAAAACACCATGAAGTGAGCTCCCTCAGTCTCAAGTGATCGGCAGGGGCCAATATGGCTCTCAGTTTTATGTGCTGATATCTGAGCAAGACCCTAGGGCATTTTCTTTTTCTTTCTCACTTACTAAGGCTCCTATATAATCCTTATATAACAGGTAAATAATTGAAAAGATGTTGGAGAAATTTCTCTGGGAAATCCCAGCCTCTAGAATTAGAAAGAATGAATCGTGTATCCCCCAAATTGATGCAGCTTGAATTAAGCATGCAATATAAATACACAAAAAAAGCATTTTGTGTAGGGCTGATCAAATTTTAAGTACAATGAAACTTTATTATGTGCATTATCTGGATTTTCCCAAACATTTTCCAGTCCCCTAAAGGATTACCACTTAATGAAATAAAATGTTCATAAAGCAATGGTTCCTCCTTGGAAAATTTTTCTTATAAACAGCTCCAAACCAGGCTTAACCAAGCTAGATTTTGAAGTTTTAAAGAAGTTTCATTGTATTTTTAAACCTTTTTAATGGGTTTATTTGGACAAAGGTATAATCAACTCCCTTTTCACATTTTAGTATGTGCAGTTGTTAATTTTTTTTTACATATGGAAAAGTTAGCCTGCATTTATTTTTAAATGCAGTTACTAAGACATTTTTGTATTCCCCATCAATGACAATGCTCAGTATGCACAAAATGTGACTCATAATCAAAACAGTTCAGTTCTTACTTTCTCTAGGGTTTAATAAAATACTTAAAAACCAACCACACAAATATTTATACATCAAAATGATAAATTTACATCGAGACTGCAAATTTAATACTTTCCATTGTCTCTGTTCTTAGTGACATGCTTGTAACTTTGATAGAAGGTGGACACTAGGCAACTGGTAGTGAAAGAAAAAAGTCCATTCTTTAATGAAGAATTCAGGTACATTGACCATTTCTTATTTTACGGTGGAAAGTTCTTTTTAATGTACATTGTTATCTCTTGGCAAAATAAAAGTGCCTTAAGTTAAAAGTTTGTTTTGAGAACCATTAAAGAAATCAGTATCAGTTCATAATGCATTATTCACAAATCTTTTTTTTTTTGCATGTCCATTATAAATTTAATATTGTAAATGTACTCATTCATTTACATGCCTATGGCTGCCTTTGATTAAACTTCCAAAAAATAAACTCTGTCCAGATGTTGGCTTTGTTCAACTAATTTTATTTCATGTCAGATTACTTGAATATGAGTTGTTGCATAATCACTACCCAGCGGATTCTTTGCTGTGCATTTGTACACTCCAGAATCTGAGGTTTGTGGATTCTGAATGACTAGGGTACCTTGTGGGTGCGGAGGCTCAATGTCATGGGCCCTCCCTTTATATGCCCTTGACAGCAGGGAGTGGTCAGGCATCTCCCATGTGATTTCTGGCTTGGGGACTCCCAGGGCCACACACTGGAGCTGAATGACCGCTCCTGTTCTCGTGAGGATGCTCCTGGGCGGGCGATTTGTAATACGGGGAGGGTAGGCTACAACCATTACTGGCACAGTGATCAGTGCATGGCCAACACTATTTTGAGCCTTACAAATATAGTTTCCCCTGTCGTAAGCTGTTGCTTCTTTGATGACTAAGGTGCCATTTTCATGCAATGTATATTTTCCGTTACTTTGGGGCCTATCTATTACATAACCACTAGGTACAGTCCATTTGATATTTGGCTTAGGGCTTCCATCAGACACACAGTGCAGTGAAAGAGAGTCTCCACTGATACAGTAAACTATTCCTACTGCATAAGTAAGAATAACTGGCTTCTGGCCAATTCCTAGTACAATTAGTTTCTCAATATAGCCAACTTTATTTCTGGCAGCACACCGATACTTTCCTGCATCACCCCGAGTTGTTTTGTAAATGATAAAAGAACCATTGCTTGCTATCAAGTACTGAGAATTTTGTGGTTCATTGGGAAATTGTGTGCCATTTGGCAAAATCCAGATCATTTCAGGTGGCGGATTTCCGTCAACAGAGCAATTCAGTACTGTGGGCTTTCCAATCTGGGCAACTACTTTTTCATTGAATGGATATCTGAATGTTGGTCTTCTCAGCATTTCCAGCACTTCTAACTGTACCACCAGCACACTCTCTCCTCCTTCATTCCGAGCCACACAGATAAAATCAGCTGAATCTGAAAGCCTCACATTCCTAATTTCCAAGGTTCCATTCCCATAGACCGTGATTCTGCTTCCATAGTATGGGGCTGTGAGGAAAATATTGTCTGGCATGATCCACATGATTTGGGGAGACGGCGATCCCTCAGCTCGGCAGTCAAAGAGTCTTTTGGAATGCCTCACAGCGGTGGCTTTAATGACCGTTTTGTTTGTATATAGACCATTGATTAATGGAGGTTGGGAGACAATGTCCAGTTTGTACATTTTTGTGTCATCCCCACTGGGATTCCGGGCCACGCACACATACTCTCCGGAATCAAGCAGTTTCACTTTGCTGATGGACAAAGACCCATTGGCATGAAAAGTGTACCTATCCTTAGAGAATGAAATCATGTCCCTGGAAGGCAGCAGCCAAAATATTTTTGGTCTGGGTTTGCCAATGACCTCACAGTCAAGGACTGCTGTGTCTCCAGCCTTGATTCTTGAGTTGGTCTTGTAACCCTGCCTAATCCGTGGGGCAGCTGTTACTACCGTTAGGTGGACCTTCATTTCATCCTTCCCTAGAGTGTTCTGGGCATGGCAAGTATAATCTCCTTCCTCTGCTATCCCAACTTTGTTGAAGTATAGGGTTCCGTTGTCAAAAAGGGTATACCTCCTGGTCCTGTGGCCACTGTCATCCGCTTGCATTGCATTGTTTATCACAGTTCCATCAGGCAAACTCCAGGATATCTCAGGTATTGGTGAGCCAGAAGCCTTGCAATCAACTTGGAAATCTTTTCCATGAAACACTTGCTTTTTAAAATGTTGCTTGTGGTCAATTTTGGCAGGTTTCAGTCTTAGACTGACATGCATCAGTATCAGATCATCTCCCAGCTTGTTTCTTGCCACACACAAGTAGTCACCGCCATCTTTTTCTGTTATTGATCCAATAAACAGGGATCCATTTGGGTAGACATGGATCCGGCTGCCCATTCTAAGGAGAGAAGAGATGAAGTTGAGTGTGCAGCTCTCAGCAAGGGGCGGGAAGCAGTCCTTAATTTATATAGCATTAGCTTTTTGGACATTTTCTTAAACTATTTAATGAATAGTTTAAGAAATTAAACTGGGCACTAGCTTGTTTACTGTTATCTAAGCCATTTGCTGAAAAAGATGAAATTACCTAACTGAATAGGTATCATGGGTAAAATTTAATTGTAAATAGCTATTTCTCAGGTGGATTTCAAGTGAATTTCTTTTACATGGTGATTTTTTTAAAAAATCATAATGGTTCGGAGAATGGTAGAAATAGTAGGTTCCTAGGCACGTGACCTTGACCATTTTATATGTCAAGTGATCATTTTGTGATATGTCAGTCAAGAACAACTTACATTCTTGATCAGAAAAGACGGCATTATACTTATTAGAGATATTAACAACAGTTACTGGTTTAGAAGATAAGTTCCACTTTGTTATGTAGAGAGAAAATGCCAATGTATGACTCAGAAGCTTGCTGTAGCACGTGCCCTTTCAGGACAGCTGTAATTATGCTGAACTGTGGGGAAACACTGGTTTTCTTCTGAAGCCACTACCCAGTGTGCTATTCCCACAATTGACCAGTAGATGGCAGACCTTGCCTGGTAAAACCAAATGGAGCCTCTCAAAGACCAGTGGAAATTGAATTGGTGCTAATACCATGATCCAGAACACCCATAGTGACAACCTATGTAATGTTTCTCTTATAATTTTTTGAAACATGAGCTAAGCAGGTAGGTTAAACTAGAAAGAAGTGTGTGAACATTTCATAGCTGCTAACCAAGTCACACAGCCTCAAGTTCTCTAGCAAACCTAGTGTAAAAAGTGCGGGGGTAAGAGGGCATTGTGATACATTACAGAAGGTGCTGGTGTTCTTTTTATGTGTTTTTCTCAAGGGTGGGAGGAACTCCTCTGGCATTTAAACCAAGGTAAAATTATAATGGATACACTTAGTAAAGAGAACGGAAATTGCCAGGGGCTTTGCATTTGTTTTTAAATCTTTAGTCAGTTAGGCACTGTACAGCTGAGTAAACTGATAGTTAAGAGACTTAATGACTTGTCTCAAGTCACAGGGCTGGTTCTCAAACCTCGTATTTTTCCTAATGTTTTTTCCTTCCTCATTCTTTCCTAATGCTTTCTAAAAGCACTTATTCTCAAACTTGTTGCACCACTTCAAATCACTTACGCAGTATGAAATACCGATGACTACCTGAGTCCCACCTCCAGAATTTTATTTAATTGGTGTGGACTGTGGCCTCGGTGTCAGGATTCCTAGGTTGTGCTGTGTAGGTAAGTCTGAGAACCACTGCTCTAAACCTAGGATCTCAACTCGGTTCCCTTATACCTGCACCAGAATCACACTGGCCCTGATTTCCTGTTCACGTTTCAGTGACTGGATTCAATACATGGCTGGGGACTGGGAACCCACTGTTTAAAACCCCGGGCGACTTGTGAACAAATAAGTTTGAGAACTAGTCTCCAATTTTAGCATGCACTAAGATCACCTGGAGGGCTTCAAAGAACACAAATTGCTTTTTAAAATACAGACTCAGAGTTTCTGATTCAACAAGTTCTTAGGCAATACTTACACTGGCAGGGGACTACACTTTGAAAACCAGTGATTCATAGTGACATCCACCAAAGCTGAAGCATCTGGAGGTTACAAAAATAAACAGAACTATAGCTGTTTCTTCTTATAAATTTATATTTTTAAGAGAATTTATTTTTGAAAATAAAAGTTTTATTCAAAAAAAGAAAAAGAATTATTTGTGCAGGTATCTGCAGTCTTCCAAAAGCAGCACCTCTCAGATTTTATTGTGCATATGATTCACTGGGGATTTTTTAAAGTGAAGATTCTGATTCAGCAGTCCGGGGAACCTGAGGTCTGCTCTTAGAATAGGCTCCCAGGTCATGAGGAGCAAGGTTCCAAAGGAGAGGAAGCACAGTTGTGTGCTGTGGTGTAGGGCACATATGTTGAAAGTAGTAGAGGTAGACTGATAGTGCTCAGAGTCTGGGACCATGGAAAAAATGCAGAGAAGGCTTTTTGGTTCAGCTAACGAGTGGTTTTCAGAAAGTGAAAGGGTTTTGCTTCTTTGGGTCATGGTGGAGTATGGAGTAGACTTGGATAAGCACAGCTTTGATAAAAGTTTTCTCATTTTCAGAATCCAAAATTCACATTTCTAAAGCTAAGAAGCAGGAAGAGTAAGGATTTTTCAATAGAAGTGCTCTTTTTCTGTTGACCTGTCTAAAGCATCTAAGTAATGAATATTCTGGCCTTTTTTAGGAGTGAGTTGCAAAATAATCATTGGCTTGTTCAGTTAGCAAACAAGTTGAATTTCACTGTCAAAAACACCAGTACCCGTGGTGGCCCATGATAGCATCTGTGATCTTTACACACTCTGCTGCCTCTTCAATAGTATGAACTATCTTTCCATGTTTTGTAAGTACTTTCCCAAAACAAAATGTAAAAAGACTACCTGTTCTTCTGCTCGATATCTCTGAGGGATTTGTTAGAACATTTGGTCAAGGTTTATTCTGAGATATTGAGGTAATGTGCTTTAGAATACTCGCCAGACTTCCTCTGGATTAACTCTTTAACACATTCCTTTATATTTTTTCATAGCTCTTGACAAAAGATTTCCATTTTCCATAATTGACTTAATGAAGATAAATGTTGTAGGCCTCATCTTTACAACCTAGGTTTTGAACTTTATTTCTTACTCCCATCACAAATGTAATGCCTTTTATACTTTTTGCATTGGTAATGAAATGGTGATGGATGGGTAATGAAAATGGTGTTGGAAATTACACAGAATAATGAGCTCTCTCTGGGTAAATGAGAATCATCCCCATGCTCCATGGAATTTATTTTAAATGCATTCATTTCTGAAAAGAGAACTTCCATTCAACGTTAATAAAATAAGTACTTAAGGCAAACAAATGAGACCTGCTAATATAATAGTAAATGCAGAAATTGATGAAACATCAAAAATATTTTATGTCATAAATGGTTATATGTATAGTAAACATGTCATTCCTAAAGTTTACATCTTAGAACTCAGCATTTAAAAACATTTAAAATCTAAACTAATTTCAATTTGACACTGGCCAGATAATCTTGATGTCTTACTGAAAAACCTGAAAATTAACACTTACTTTTGAATTAAAGATCACAAGCCAAATTCATTTACTACATTCAAAACCAGCTTATAGTGTGACACTAGAAAAAGAACTCTATTCTTCAACATCTAAGCATGAGTACAAATTCAACTCTATTATGTCTATTCTCTTCTGCATGGATACTTCTATTAATGAATAAGAAAATATAAAAAATGTAAATGCTCACTCCCATCTTTTTCTGTCATACAGAAAGCCACTGCACAAAGTCATGCAACTGGCCTAACTTAGTAACTCTTATAAGCTATAATTATTTTCAAAGACAGGGTTTAATTTATACAGAAAATCAGATAAAAATGAATATGCCTGTAACAGAGCATACTAGAGGAAATTTGTATGTGTATTTATGGGTCTGACAGCATTGGAGTGATGCAGATCCAGAATATATTTCACTTTGTGAAGGTCTTAATGTTGTGACTTTCATAAAGTGCTTTGCAATCTTAGGCTAGAAGAAATGACAGATTATACTGAAATTTAAAATGTTGGATAGGAGGCCCTTCAAGAGTGAAGTAAGAGTATGTCTTTCCAGAGCCTTGGTTGCATTACAAACTCCCTCCTCTTTCCTGGATAGAGGAATTATGAGTGTGCTTACACAGTTACGATTTTAAAACTGTTGCAAGTATGAAAGCAAATGAGAATTTTATTCTTCTTTAACTATATAAACTCAATAACAAGTTGGCCTTAGAGTTAAGCATAAAAGAATCTTGGTTTTTATATTATTTATTATATTAATCTCAAAAGGAATAGGTCTCTTCAGAGTTATACTTGCAGAGTCTAAGGGCTCTCTAAAACTGCTAGCCTCACTGTATGACTTTTCATTTCAGAAGTTGTACATCTAAATAGATAAAGAAGATAATCTCAACACAAAGGTATGGTTTACCTGTGCCACTGGTCGACGACAGCCTTGGATGGTAACCTCCAGATTATTTTGGGCTTGGGTTCCCCAATGGCTGAGCAGTTCAGTAGTAATTTGTCCCCAAAGTTCACCTCAGTCCACTTCTGGGATGCAGATTCTATCCTGGGGATGGTCTCTTGCTCTTCTACTGTAAGAATTACCACCCTTCTCTCTGAGCCAGTGGAGCTGGTAGCAATACATTCATAAGTGCCCCTGTCTGAAGAAGCTACATTTCTTACATGCAGTGTCCCATTTGAAAATAAGAACAACTTGGAATTGATCGACTGTAATGGTGTCACTTTGGTGCCATCAGTGAGGACCCAGTGGACACTAGGCTGAGGAGTTCCTTTTGCAGTACAAGGCAGTTTCAAACTTTCACCCCACATCCCTGCAATGACTTGCCTCTTTTGCTCTAGAATGACAGGTGGGGCTGCAATGACTTGAAGTTTAACCAGCAGTGAGTCCTGGCCAGCTGAGTTGTTGGCCATGCATTTGTAAAAGCCCCTGTCATAGATGCTGAGACTGTGGATGACCAGCGTTCCATCAGATTTCACCAGGGCCTGCCTTTTCCCCTCAGAGGATTCTGAGACCACTGTTTGGTTTGCGAGAATCCAATAAATCATAGGGCTTGGACTACCTTCAGCACTGCACTTCAATTCTACAGTGCTTCCAGAATGGACTGTGATCTCTTTGTTACGTCTCTCCAGGATCCTGGGAGGATAGGAAACCACAGACAAGGTGACGTGAAGGTGGTCTGTGCCCAGGGGATTGGAAGCAGAGCACAGGTACTGTCCACGGTCCTGAATGTCCACCTCCTGTATGGCCAGGGTGCCATTGGGGAGCACCTGGAACCTGCTGTTCTCTTTCCTTTTAGACAAATCAAGTCCTGGTAAGAAAGGAATTTATAGTAATAGGTCATCAAAGTTTAGATAGGAGACATAAATTGTTCAAATGGAAGTCTCAAGAGGAAAGCCATCTTTTTGTTAGGCTCCTGAGAACAAATATATTTAAAGTTACGATGCCTATTCTTCAGATTGCTAAAATTATTCCTGGAATTTCTTATCACCATAATTTTAATTTAAAAGCCAGATGGCCCAATGCAATACCCATTCTCTCGTTTTCATATCACATTTCTTTGGATCCACTTTCAAATCATTTTTTTTAAACATTCCTAATTAACATGTTTTAAAACCTTTTAATGAGCAAAAAAGCCACATGGCAAAAATGTCAAATGAGGACATTAATAGTTTCTTTATCTTAGAGAAATCTGAAACTGGGGTTGATTCCAGAAACATAGCACAATATTTTCCTTGTTTTATAACCAAAGAAGACTAAGTTTAAAGAAACAGTTTCAAATACCTGATGAGACTTTGGTCCAGTGGATGGTGGGGAGGGGATTCCCAACAGCCTCACAAGGAAGAAAGGCATCTGAGTTAGCTGGAACAGTATAACTTGCTGCTTTTCCTCCAACTATTCTGGGCCTTTCGAATATATTCCTGGACAAAGAGTCAAAGGGAAGGAGTTCAGAAGTTGTTATTTGAACTGGTATCTCATCAAAGCGACTTTTCTTTGCAGTCTCCTGTATATCCCAGTTTGAAACACGAGTGGTGTCCTCTGGCAAGCCTGGGGTGGGCAACATGCTCACTATTGACTTTTTGCCTTTTTCAGCAATTTCTCGGTATGACTTGTTCCAGAAGTGGTTTTCTGACAAGGGAGAGGGAGTCAATTTAGAACTCTGTGGTTTGACTATTGTTAGTGCTGGCACAGGAGTAGACTGTAAGAGACTGGAATAGAGAAAGTGGGTGGTTCCCGTTGTGTATTTGGCATTTGGGTGAGCTTTGGGAGGTGTAGCAATCTCTGCCGCTAATTCCTGTGGATTAGCATTGTGCCCTGAGGACTCTTGGGGCCTGACCATTATATTTGTCATTATCCTGGAAGAGGGACTTGCCACGCTACCCATAACTGCACTTTGATCACTCACAGGCAGGGAGGTGTGGATGGGTGCTGGAGTAGCACAGCTGCTCAGGAGGGGTGGCACGGTTGAGTGCCTAGGGATCGTATCTCTAGGTGTAGTCTGGTGTGGTCTGCTGGACAAGGTGGCTTCAGAAGCAGCTGTGCTCGAAGTCTGAGTGCTCTCTTGGGGTAGTCTCTCACCTGTATCTGTCAGGTTAAGTGTTCTTGGATGAAGACCGATTATGCTTGAGATTCCTTTTGTACTTTCTATGGGAGAATGAGTGAAAACAGAGACACTGGACTGGGCTGAAGTTTCATGGGCAGTGAGATCAGGAGGTGTCATAGCCCTGGATGTGCTGAAGCCAGAACTCTGGTTTGGAGAGGTGTTTGGGTCATTCCTGTTCTCCTGAGGCTCCTTTTTCCTTTGGGCTTCTCGTGTCCTGGGTCTGATTATTTGGGTTTTACTGATGATAGACACAGGGGCAGTAGAGGGCGTCGTCAGTGTGGCTGTCTGCATTGATATGAAATGTGTACTTGATTCTTTGATTGAGATACTAGGAGGTATAGTGTGAACAGGAGGGAAGAGCAGCTGCTTCACTGGTGGGAGACTGACAGGACTGTGTGTTGCAGTGAGATTGTGGTGAGTCGCAGCTGATGTTACTGATAGAATCTGCATCACACCTGCTGAGAGTGTTATGCTAGGGAAGGTGGGGGAAACTTTATTCCTGGGTAAAGCAGGGGGTATTTTAACAAGCACTGTGTTTCTGCTCTTTTGTGAACCAAATTTATGGTGACTCTTTATCCTCCCTTTTTGCATATAGTTGTTTACAAAAATCTGATGCCAGGGAATTTTCCTTCTTGAAAATCTTGTAATGGCTATAGAAGTAGGCATAGATGGCTTTGTGCTGGGACCTGGCAGAGGTGGTGTAATCACTGAATCTCTTTTAACTTCACCGGTGTTAGATGCACTTGGGTAAACAATATTTTTTATGTGAGCTTTTTCCATAAATACCTGGGCTGTTCTGGCAAGAGTCATGACTGCACCAGCTGGAGTCACTTGTGTACCTTCAGCACTGAAATATTTTATCGTGGGTGTTGTTTTCTCAGTGTCTACATTTGGTCTGTTCTCAAATGGTAACAAAGGACTGTGGACTAGAGTTGTAGATGCTGCTGCGGTGACTGTGGCAATTTCAGCTTTAGTGGAGGAAATGGGCAAAGAACTTGGAAAAGGCCTTGCTGCTGTGGAAGTGGTGAGCCTCTCTCTGGGAGAACAGGACGGGCAGCCCATGTTGTGCCCTGTGGCTGGAAATGCACTGGCACTTTCTTCAGAAGAGCCTCTGAAAGTTGGCCTCACAAAGCTGTATCTGTGCTGTCGGAGAAGTGGAGTTCTGTATGAGCTGATAATTCGCCCCCTGCCCCAGATTTTCCTCCGTCTTCCAAAGCGTCCAGACAGAGGGATGTTAGTTGTACTATTTCTGGAAATCTGTAACTGAGAACGTGCAGGAGTGTGTGTGCTCGAGGGGCGCTTAGAGGTGCTAAGCTTTTGTGTCACAGGAGAAGAGATGCGATTGCTCCTGGGTTCAGTGGTTCCTGTTACGGATGTCTGATGACTCTCCATGGCACTTACCGCCCCTGAGAACACATCAGCTTTGCTGTTAGCACTATGAAGCATTTTGATATTGACATCTTTGGCTGCAGTCCCCACTGTTACTGGGTGGGCAGTTTCCAGATGCTCTCTCCTCTTCCCCATGTCATCACTGCCATGAAAATGAGTTGCTTCAGGTAGCGGAGGAGAGATGGTGGGTACCTTTTGGTTGGCTGTGCCTTGCCTTTTGCTTGATGTGGCTGGGTTTACGTCCGTTGACACAGCTGTAGTTTCAGCAGCAGCAGACCGTTTGGAATCTACTGGTTTCCCTGGTGGTAGTGTTTGTGGACTTGCCGTGGGGGAGACTTTGGTGCCAGCTGTTGTATTTGTCACAGGGCTGTTAGATACTGTCCTGGGGTGGGCAGCCCTGGTCCTTACCAGAACACTGGGAACTTCAGTTGCCAGGACCATAAATTCCTCATCTGGAGGGAGCAGGCCTGAAGAGTCCACTTCCTCACCATGTATGTCTAGGAGCTGGGTGACCAGGACAGGTGGCCTTGTTGTGCTTTTCTCCTTCCTCTCTGACACAGCATTCTTTTTAGCTTTCTCCAAAAGTGCTGCCCAGCGTAGTGGGTCAATTCTCTGAGCAGAGGGAGGGAACTGCTTCCTGCGCTCCCTAAAGGGGTGGTTTGTTGAATCTCGACGCCCCAGGTGCACTGGTTCCCGGTAGTTGTGCTTCTTGCTCGTGCTGGAGGCTTGGTATCCCACTGCAGCTCCCGCTGGAGCAGCTGTAGAGGGTTGGGCGACTGGGGGCTCTTGAGAGTGAGCAGCAGGATTAGGCTCATCCAGTCCAGAGCCATCTGTTTCTACATCATGGTCCACTGGCTTTTGCCCTTTTGTTTTGATTGAAACTTTGTTAATCAGAAAATCTATACCTGATGGGTTGGCTGCTATACAACGATAATGACCCTGGTCTTTTGGGGTGATCTGTAATATCCTTAGTGTGCCATTGTTGAGAATTTGTCTGTCTCTTGAGGACTGATAGAGCACAGTTCTTCCTGGAAGAACCCAGCTAACAGAGGCATCTGGGATACCAGTAGAATGGCATGGGAGGTCAAGTGTTTCACCAATGAACGCTGTGTGATGAATACCATTTTCATGGTAGGCTTTGATGTAGGGCTCTACCACAGTAATCCTGTAGGTGAGAAAATCTGTATCATCATAATTGGTGCTTATGCAGTGGTATGTGCCTGTGTCAAAGCTGTCAGCCATCTGGAGCTCCAGTTTTCCACTTCTGTCTATTAGGATTCGTCCGTCCTCACTAACATAAGGGGCTGTCACTTTACTTCCATCAGCTAGAACCCACTCCAGATGTGGGGTGGGATCTCCCAGGCCTGGGCAGTCTAGGTCAATGGTCCCACCAACCAAAACAGTGTGTTCCAGCTTAGTATTGTTATCCCTGGAAATCATGGTCCATTTGTGGTTCACTGGCCTCATCTCTGCCCTTGGTAAAGAGACCTGAGCATCACTAGAGTACTGGATCTGCAGCGCACTGAGTGTGGTGGCAGTTCTGTTTAGTTGCAAGGAAATTCGGTCTTGCATTAGCCAAGGGGGATCTGCTTTGAGAACAGCCTCTATGTTGGTAAAAATATCTTTGGGCTCAGGAGCCACTTGATTATATTTGTCGCCATATTGTGTTGTTTCAGGGAGCAAGTGGCACCTTTCTAGTATCAGAGGAAAGTCACTGTACAAAGCCAGAACTTGCCAAACTGACTGAATGTGACTGTAATCTATGTTACACACCAGAAATGTTGAAAATGATGTATTTAGCATGATGTAGTCATTTTCCTCAGTGAGTACAATGGAGGATGTCTGGGAGGGCTTCTGAATACTGCAGACCATGTTAGCTTCATTTCCAGACTGGTCTGTCAGATTCAATGTGAGGGAGCCCAAGGGTGACATGAAATCTTGGGGAGACATGGACACAGAACCACTGTCTTCCAAAATCGGCAGGCTCTTCAGTTTCAGGAATGGGTCAATGCTTGGCTTGGCACACCGGAAAGCCACAGCTGGGACCATAGCTAAGGGCTTGCCTTTAGAGGTCCTGGGGTTCATGCAAAGTGGACATTGCTGAGGACTGGAGGGACTTCTGTCCTTTTTGCATTTTATTATATCTAGGAAAAATGACAATTGAATTATTGTCATTTGTAGCCTTCTTATTAATTAATATTTGAACACTTTGAATAGTTTTTGTTAGAATTTAAAACCATTTAGAAAGTCTGTTGTTGATTTCTTAAAAAAAATAACACTTTCCCTTGCCACAATATTATATCCATAGACACAAGGATTTGTCTGTCTTGTTCACTGATGTGTTTCCCATGCCTAGAAAGTATCTGATACTCAGTAAATATTATTTGAATGAATAGTTTCCTTATCTAGGGAAACATAATGATATGCTTATGATTGTCACTTTTTATTAACAGCAGTTTAGTTCTAATTCCTCATTTCAATGTTTTAAGAGTCCTAGAATTTCATTGCCCTTTAAGAGATAAACTGTTTTCATAAGTTATCATTAAACACACAAACTTTCTTTTCCCATTATCCAAAAGAACAACACCTGAATTATAAGATGCGCTGGCCTGGTCTCACTTAGTCTCAGTAGAAATGGAGAGTGACTGATAGATCATGGAGACAGGGAGACAGGTGGGAGCGATCAGTAAGGGGTGAGGATTCGGGTGAACATGGGGGGCAACTGAGGGCACGAGTGCAGACACGTTGAGGCAGACTCATTGGAGGAGGATCCAGTTTAATGGGGAGGGAGAATAGCGTGTCCCCGTAAAGGGGCGGCCCATTCATGGTGACAGTTCCGTGACGTCAGAAGCCTGAAAGTCTTAGAACACGAGGCCTACCCTCAGCCTTTCTGAATCACAGAAGCCTTTTCTTTCAGGTATTCAAATATCACTTATATTCAATCATTTAAAAAACACCACTCTGGTGAGCCTATTTAAAGTAATTGATCACTGAAATACTTGATAAGAGGTTACGGAGTTGAATCTTACATAAAATGCAACCTGGGACTTCCATGCCATTTCCAGTAATAGCTCCCATATCATGCATTGGACATGGCACTTAAGGGAACATTATCCCATTGGCAGAGGCTGGGCAGGGTCAGATCACCTTCCCCCAAGTGCACAAATCCTCTCAAAGGCTTAAGTCCCTCTGACCAGGGACTCCCAACCCTTTAGTGTGTACCTCAGTATGACAGGTAATGCCATGTATATCTGGCTACTCAGCATTCTTCAGCACACTTTAAAGTTTACTATGCAGATGAAGTAGCTGAAAAGCCTGAAAGCCTTTGAACATTCATGAGTGGCTCTTTTCAGTCACCCACTTACCAAGCAGCTATGCCCCTTTACTTACTTATCAGTACCCTGGGCTCAGACCCTGTTATCGCAAAGATCATGGCAGACTTCTGGTTTAATTAAGCCTCATCACAGAATTATTTTTGCTCACATCTTGGTATGCCAATTATTGGACTTCAGGTATTTTACCTGAGATGCAAATCAGATCATTCACTTCCACTGCCTCCCTCACACTAGGTTCCAGTCACACTTAAATGCTTTCCACGCCTCAACCGTGCCATGCCTGTCCTCCTCTGGTATATGCTGTTCCTTCCACTTCCCATGCACTTGGTATCTGACACACATTCTTCCACCTTTACTGACGCCCTCAAGACCCAGGCAGGACGGCACTTCTTCTGGGTGGGCTCCCTGCTTTACTTTCTCCTAGTGCCTTTCACTTCTCCTCTCCTACCCTTGTCACCCACTCTTCAAATTATTTGTCAGGTTGTGTGTCCTCCACAAGACTGCCAGCTCCATGCTGTTCACCTGTATGTCCCTAGTGCTGTCCTAGGATGCCCAGGAAAGATCACAAGGAGATAGGCTTAATTCTACAACCATATTTCTTCCATATTTTAACTGATAAATTGAGGTGTGTCTTAACAGCTGAAGGTGTTTTAGAGTGGCAGCTGGTGCCTGCTCACACACAGACTGTCATACCTATTTTATTGTTTTCTCTTCACTTGAGTCACATGCTCTGTTGGTGATACATATATTGTTTGCCACTTAAAATGTATTTGTTATTATACTTTGACATTAAAACAAGAAGTTATTTTTTAGAAAGGCCTGGAAGCAGAACATCAGGACATAAATTTATCATCTGTGAAACCAATGTTTACTAGAGAAATGGCCACAAACCCTTATTTTATAGAAAAGCAATGGCAAGAGCTTTGTAGAATCTAAGAATGGAAGATGCCCACAAATAGATGAAGCTGGGTTTCATCTGACTACATATCACATGGCACGTGAGGCAACTGAAAGCATGAGAAACTGTCACAGCTCTTAGAAGAGATGAAAACTATTTCAGAGAAGTTGACATGACTGATTTATGAGTCTTGTAGGATTATCATTAGCATCTCAGTCAAAAGGAGAACACATCATATTTTAGACACAACTGAAAGTTGTTACTGCTAGTGGGCTTGCCTAATTATTTTACAGACACACACGTACAATTTGGGGCATATTAAGACCACAGACGGGCAGTGAGAACTCATTTGTACTCACCATCGAAATGGATAATGATAAAAGCTTAGTAGGTACTGAATAATTTTTGTTAAACTATTTTTCTAGGCACATTCTAGGAGCCAAGAATCAATAAATTAGACATAAGGCAACAGACATTTAATATTAATAAATGTAATAAAGTGTTATCCATTCAAGAACAGAAGTGTGGGAAATTACAAGTGGTAAAATGATTATTCTGATACAGATGAGGTGGTTGGAGGAACTTCCAGGCTTCCTAGAACTGGTGAATGCTAGGCAGTTTGCTGGCTGGCTGAGAGCCCATCAGGCAGAAAAGAAAGGGAAGCCCCATAGTCAGGTAAGCAGTAGCTGCAGGTGGTACAGCTCATGGGGAGTCTGGGATGAGGGCAAGCAGAGGGTAGTGGGAAATGAGGCTGAGGCTGGTCAAGGAGGATCTGGCATGCTCAGGCTTTGTTCTCGAGGCCGGGGTCAGTAAACCTGTTCTATAAAGAGGCAGGTAGTAAAGATTTCAGATTATTTGGACCATAGATCTCTGACACGATTTAACTACACCACTGTAGCACCGAAGCTGCCCTAGATGGTCTGTAAAGACCGGGCATGACTGTGTTCCAATAGGACTATTTACAAAAGCTTGTGAAGGGCTGGAACTGGCCTGTGAGCTACAGCCTGTCAGTTACTGAACTCTTTTTGGTCATTAAAAAATTTCCTTTAGTACATAGAATAACTAAATATCTTATAATCAGTGGCATAATCCATTTGGTGAAATGTTAGCTGCTAACAATATATATTAGCCTGATTTTATTACTGAGCATGTAATGAGCAGAATGGCAAGTAGGTTTCACACCTTACAGAAACCAAACAGAAACATTTGCTCCCTGGTTATACAGTTCTCTCCCTTATTTCTCCTTTCACTGCAACATTTCTCAAATAAGTTTTCTCTGTTTGCACACCATCCTTCCCCTGTAATTCAGCTAGTGACCACATGAAAATCCAGTGTTTTCTCATTCTCCTGTCTGTCTCCATGGAACTGAGGATATTGAGAAAGCCCCACTCAATAGCTCCCCTTTTAGATGTCTTGTGAAGCTACATTTATGGGACTAAAGTGTCAAATGACTAGTCCAAAATACCAACTTTTCTAAGCCTCAATTTCTTCATCTGTAAATTGTGGATTTTTGTGAAGACTAAATAGAAAACAGCTAGCACAATGTCAAGCAAAAACTGAGTATGTTACCTCCCTGCTCGCTCTTATTCCTTCTTTTTCCTTCAAAGTAACCTTTGTGCCAAATTTCCCTCTTTTTCAGTCAAGGCAGAAGTAATTTTTAGTGACTCTCATTTCCTATAGAACTAAATCATCAACTAAAGTATTTTGATGTTTTCATGCATAGCCTTATTGTCTTTTTATGTATTTAGCGTATTTACCTCAAGACACTACAGTACCTCACAATGTCTGATTAATGTTTTTTTGATCAGTTTTTTGGCTAGTTATATTAACTGACTACATATCTATATATAGAACTACATACATATGATTGGACATACCTATACACATAGATACAGTATATATATTTCATAGCAGCAACTTCGGACCTTTCCCACTTTTCTCAAGCTTCTAAGCTTTACCCCTCCTCAGTCACCTCTCCTACAAGGACACAGAGGAGGAGAAGCCATCCTCTACGAGCTCCCTTCACCTCCTCCACCAGGCGCAGGAGCTCCCCTACCTCTGTGTCCAGTTAGGTCTCCTTTCTCTCCTAAGGAAAAGCTCTTCACCTCTGGCTGGAGTGCTTACCTTCCAGTCTTCTCAGAGGACTTGCTCAGCTGATGATCTGCCCCTCTGCAGTGGCCTCACCTTCGCCCTCAACAGTCTCAAGTCCTGTGTGACTGCACACTTCCATCCTCGATGCATGGCAATCCAGTTCCCGCTCTTTCCAAAGTAACCAAGCACCCTTCAGATGCCAAAACCAGTGGGCTCTGGCCCCCTGCACAGCAAATTCTACATTCCCCCTTAAACACATTTCATACCCTGATTGCGTGCTTATCTGTAACCCTCTAGATGTGTGGTTAGAGCAGAAACAGTGCTCTTGGTATTCCCATTGCCAAGCACAGGCCTTGAATAGAGCACCAAAAAAATAGGCACTGGCTGAAAAGAGATAGGCAAGAGCAACACAACATACATTTCTTATTTCCAAGTTTTTCCAAAAGCCAGAAGTAATTAGTGGATAGTTGACTGAAACAATGAATCATTAATGCACAGATGAATTAAGAGAATTCATTAATCACTGAATTAATAGAGTTCATTTACTCTTCAGCTAAATTATCTTTGCCTCCCCACTGACTGATATAACACCTTCAGGCAGGTTTCCTCTACTTATTTAGGACAAAGGAATAAATGGCGTAGATACCTGGCTTCTCCTGTATCCAGTCAGACAACCATTTTAAGTGGCAATCACAGGTCCAGGGGTTTCCATGAAGATAAAGACTTTCCAGATTAGGCATATAGGAGACCATCTCTTGAGGAAGGGAGCTCAGGAAGTTATCAGACAAGTATAGATACTTAATGAAGGATGTTTTAAATATCTGGAGGTATCGCAAAGACACAAATGTATCTGGATGGAGTTTAGTGAGCTGATTTCCTTCCAAATGCACCAATCGGAGAAAGGTAAGTCCATTGAAAACCTCTGGGTTTATAAACTCAATACTATTGTGGTCCAGATGCAACCGTGTCAAGCTCCTGAGGCCATAAAAAGTATCTTTCTGAAGTTTTCGGACTTTATTATAGCTCATTTTTAAGACCTAAGAATAAAAAGAACACAGTTTGTCAAACGGGTTGTCACAAAAAGGAAAAGCATATCAATAATAGAAAATATGTTGAGATTAATCAAATACAGTGTGTGTACCTTGTCTGGATCCTAATTCAAGCATGTTAGCTACAAATTAAATATGAGAATATCAGGGAAAATTAGAATAATTTTGAATATTTGATAAGAAATTATTGCTAAAAATTTAAGATACAAATGATATTTTTTTAAAGATTCCTTAATCTTAATATTATTATCTCTCTCTATAGATAGAGAGACATAGATATACTGAGGTGCTTAAAAATGGAACATTATGATGTCATGAATTTGTTTCAAAACAATGCAGTGAAGAAGAAAAGTAGTTGGTAGGGTGCAGGTGAAACAAGATCTGTTAACTATTGAAGATGCATTGGGTTTCATTATGCTTTTGTGTATGGTTGAAAATTTCCATAATAAAAAGTATCTTGATACTAAATCTTTAATAAAAAATAGTGATTTTAATTTACCTCTCACATTTTTAATAGCTTTATTGAAATACAATTAACATGCCATAAAAGTCACTTGTCTAACATATGCAATTAAGTAGTATTTAACAGAGTTGTGCAACCACCTGTATTAATTTTAGAAAATTTTCATTGCCATAAAATCAAAACTGATATCCTCTGGCAGTCATTTCCCTATTCCTCCTGCCCCTAGAAAACCACTAATTTACTTTGTTTTTATGGATTTTCCTATTCTGGACATTTAATACAAATGGAGTCATATAATATGTGGTCTTTTGTTTCTGGCTTTTTACAATTTGCCTAATGTTTTCCAGACCCATCCCTGTTGTAGCATGTGTCAGCCCTTTATTGCCAAAGAGTATTCCATGTAACATATTTTGTTTATCCACTTATCAGCTGATAGACATTTGGGATGTTTCTACTTTTTGGCTATTATGAGTCACATGATTTTGAATTTAATCAAAATTAAAATAATTTTTTGAGTGTTTCCACAGTACGTGGGTATTCTCCAATACCTTCTTTACTTATACTCTTTCTCCCAAAAAACAAAGAAATCGTAGTGAAAACAATAATTTCTCCTATGTTTCCTGATTAGGCTTAAATAGGCAACATAGAAAATATTCCCTGAGAGTACACTCTTAAACTCAGTGCTCAGAGCTCCTTAATATCTATTGAAAAGCTGGTTAGCAGAATAAATGTTTACAGACAACTGCATTCTCTGAAGACATATATTCCGAAGAAAGCCTGATGCAGCCAAAGCAACAGAAGTGCATAACTAGACTGAATTCCATTGTTTAACGCAGCCCTGATATTATGTCAAAAGGCTTTGTGAACACTGGCATTTTATCTTTTGTAAAGATATTACTGACCTATTTTATTTTAATGTATCTTTTTTATGAGAATTTTTGGATAGAAGTTGTGGCTTGTGGATCAAGGTAGTAGATTAGAGACATCCTGAGCTCATTTCCTTCCATGGACAAACCAGAATTTCAAGTGCATGTAGAACAACTATCTTTGAGAGAAAACTATAGATGAGCAGAAAAGATTTTTACACAACTAGGGATATGAAGAAACGACCACATCAAAATGGACAGGAAGCATGGAGTTGCAGTCTAGTCAGGGCCCCCCAGAATGGTGACCCACAAACAAGAGGGGTATCACAACAATTGAGGACCCCACTGAGGAACAAGAGTTCTGAAACTCATATTGGGCTCCCCAGCCCAGGGAACCTGTACCAGGAAGACATGATGGGCCTGCACCCCCATAACATTTGGCTTTGTAAACCAGCAGGGCTTATACCCAGGAGAGCTGGAAAGCAGTAAGAAGTTAAGACTACTTCTAAGAGCACACACACAACCTCACTTGCCCTGAGTCCCAGGGCAGTGACAGCAGTTTGAAAGTGCCTGGGTTACACATGAAGGGGATTCACTGACAACTTTGAGGACATGTTCCAGAGGAGCAGGGATCTGTTAGAATGTTCTCCGGGGACAAAAGCACTGATGGGCATCATTTTTTCCCACTTCCCTTCTCCTTTGCTGACCCAGTGCTGGCAGGAGACTATCAACTTACTTTCAGCAGAAATTTTATAGGCCAGCAGGGAGTGGCAGGATGTATTCAAAGTGCTGAAAGGAAAAACCTGAAAACCAAGAATACTCTACCCAGCAAGTTTATTACTCAGAATTGAAGAAAAGATAAGGAGTTTCCAAGACAATGAAAAGCTGAAAGAGTTCTCAACACCAAACTAGCCTTACAAGAAATGTTAAAGGAACTTTTTTAAGCAGAAAAGAAAAGGCTATATATCCAAAATAAGTACAACAAAGGAGGCAAGACTATACAATGGGGAAAACATAGTCTCTTCAATAAATGGTGGTGGGGAAACTGGACAACTACATGCAAAATAAACTGAATTGTTTTCTTATACCATATACAAAAACAAACTCAAAATGCATTAAAGACTTAAATGTTAAGACCAGAAACCATTCAACTCCTTGAAGAAAACTTAGTAAACTCTTTGAAATTGGTCTTAATTTTTTTTTTAACTGTCTCTTCAGGCAAGGGCAACAAAAGCAAAAATAAACAAATGGGACTACATCAAGCTAAAAAGCTTTTGCACATTGAAGAAAACCATCAAGGAAATGAAAAGGCAAGCTACTGAATAGGAGAAGATATTTGCAAATGATATAACTGATAAGGGTTTAATATCCAAAGCTGTAAAGAGTTCATACAACTCAATCAAAAAAACAAATAATCCAATTAAAAAATGGGCAGAGGACTTGATCAGACATTCCTCTGAAGAAGACATATAGATGACCAATAGATGAAAAGATGCTCAATATCACTAATTAATATCACTAATTTTACAAATATACATGCACACACACATATGTATAGTGGAATATTAGCCATAAAAGAATGTAATATTGCAATTTGTAACAACATTGATGGCCCTACAGGGTATTATTCTAAGTGAAATAAGTCAAAGAAAGACAAATATTATATGATTTCACTTATGTGGAATCTAAAAAACAAAACATAACAAAACAGACTTATAGATAGAGGGAGCAATCTGATAGTTGCCGGAGGGGAGGATCTAGGGGGATGGGAAAAATAGGGGAAAGAGAATAAAAGAAATAAACTTTCAGTTATAAAAAACCTCAAGGGGATGTAATGTACAGCATAGGGAATATAGTTAACAATATTGTAACAAATTTGCATGGTAACTAGATTTATCCTTACCAATTCCTAATATATATAAAAATTGAAGCACTGTGTTGAAGACCAGAAACTAGTATTACATATAAACTACATTTCACTTAAAAATTTAATTAAAAAAAATAAGATAATGTTGTGCTTTTCCTGAACAATTTTTTATTTCTTTAGAAATTTAGTAGACTTCACAAATTGTGAGTCAGTTTCTCGAAAGCTTCAAGTTCTACCTATAGCAGACATCCTGATCTTTATGTATACATTTCCCTGTATTCCTCTTATTCTTATCCCTTGATTTGTTTTTACCATTACTTTATTACCTACTGGAATGATAATTTTTCCAACATCTGATGCATTCTTGGATGGTTCCATAACTTTAAAAGATTTGAAGACAATTATAAATAAATAAGGTATAAATAAATGGTATAAATAAGCAAAGTGAAATGAAGAAAATTATGCTGATGTAATGGAAAGCTAACTTCTGTGTAAGACAGCAATTAATTTTAGGAACCCCATTCAATTCCCCAATGAGCATGACTGCAAATTCCCTTTCAAGATTGTTAAAGGTTTAGTAATCCTGGTGTATTGACTTTTCTTTATCTGTTAGCCTAAGGTAAACTTGCCTCAAAATTTTCTTATTCTAATTTTCACATACTATTGCATTTAATAAGAAATCCATTCTTTCATATCCTCTTTGATGTCTACTTCTAATTTACAGAATTTTGATTTCTGGACTCTCCATGAATAGCCAGCATTTGGAAGTACTTCTCGCTTCTTGAAACTACCACTTACCCTCACCGTTCTTACCTGCAAGGCCTGCAGATCTGAGAAGGTCTTAGCAGGGATTGTGTGAATGCCATTGCTGTGCAGCATTAGTAACTCCAATTTGTTGAGGCCAGAAAAATCCATTTCTGTCAGTCTAGCCAAGCTGTTGTACCTGAAATAAAATACCCAGCATAAGCCAAGACTGTCAACTAAATTTCAAATGTCAAAGCAAACCCACACACAAGCACATACCAAGCCCAAAGTCTCCTGTTCTTTAACTTGTGGTGAAGGATACACAAATGCTTGAAATATCATTAGAATTCATCAGATGCCACAGAGGGTTTACCGTCTACCTAGCCCTTGCAGTCTTAGTTAACATTACCATCCACATTCTCAGAAATATTCCTTCTCATTTTCAAAGCTGTAGGGATATGCTGTTTCTTTGGGTTGGAACACCCTTGATTATAGCCCTATTTGTGAGCACTGTTAAGACCCATTATTTCATGACATGTCCCCTTACTCTCCCAAGTGGAATTCATCCCTGTGGTTAGGAACCCTGGGCTCTGAAGCCAAATGGTTTGGCCATGATTCTGAACTCAGGTGCTTGGTAGTGTTGACACACTGGTAAAATCAGTAATCTTTCTGTGCCTGAGTTTCCCCATCTATAAATAGATGCAATAATAGAACTTACTCCAAAGGGGTTATGAGGATTAAATGGAATACATGACAAGTGCTTAGCTCAATGCCAGGACTTAATAAGCACACAGTTAATGAGCTGATTATTACTAGTGATCTTTCCCAAGGCAGTGTTTATGCTCTCTTATGGTTATTAAATTGTACTGACTGTCATCTTTCTTTTAACTATATCTTATAGAATTGAATAATACATCTTTTCATCACTCTATCCCTGGTACCACTCATTGTGTTTGGCACCTAGTAGGTGCTCATTAATATCAAATAAGTGATGTCTGACTACATGTGCCCATGTACAGTTTTGATGAACCTTTAAAATATAATCACCTTTTGTTAGATTTAATTAGATATGCATTTTAAAAAGCATTTTAAGTAAGTCACTTTGTACAGGGAAAGTCCAAGGGCATAAAAAAGGATCTAGCTACCTTTTTATACATATCTTTTATATATGGGAGAACACTTCCATTTGTCCTGTTATCTCAAATATATCGTAACCCTGATTCTTAACAGGATCTATATTATTTTCGAGCTAAAATGTAGCCAGAATGAAGCTTTTCAAAATTCATGGGACTTTCAACCTACCAAGAGTGACTCTAGATTCCAGAAAAACTGCCTCCTAGTAAAATCTTACCAGGAAATTTTTTTTTATTGCCTCTAACAAACTAAGGTCCTCGTGCACTTATTTCAGAAGAAAAATACTGTTAAAACAACTGTGGTTAATCTCTCAAAGTCACAAGTGTTTGGGAGACAAGTCACCAGTGTGATCCATCCCTCTTTGAGAAGCGGACAACACAAGGGCCCCCACGTACCCTAAATTGATACGCTCCACATCACGGGGGATGTTGTCTGGGATGGAGGTCAGGTACCGAAACGTGCAGTGTACCTCTGCGGGCACATAACAGGCACAACGGCGAGGACAGGCCCTGCCCCCGGGGGAGGCCACCAGGCAGATCACAGTGAAGAACAGCCAGCAAGTGATTTCTCTGTCTGTTACCTTCATCCTGAAAAAACAGCACACCTTGAAATTATAGACGTGGTTTGAACAGAGTTCCAGTTTGACCATACACAGTTACTCTGGCAGTCTGGGAGACCTTCCTGAAAGGTCACTAGGTGGACAATTTCATTCACAACTTCTGTGGTAAAATTTACTTTTTAAAAAGCCTAGTTTGTGCTGGGGATTTGTGCTAATGCAGGTTATTTATTGTTGTGAAAACTCCTTCACAGCTTCTCCCTTCTTAGAGAAAAGCAGCAATCCCAATTACTCAGGAATTCTTTACGGAGAGAAAATGAAGACGATAATGAAGATATTATGACAACTGGAAAACATACAGCTCAGTTTTCTGTTTATATATTAGTTCTTTTAGACTAACTTTTAAAAAACTGATTATAAAACTAAAAATGTGCATCATAGAAAATTTGGCAGCTGTAAAAAAGTGGAAGAAAATTACTCATATTCCTACCACCCATATATAATCAATATTTTGCTGTATTCCTCCAGTCTTTTAGATAGTATGTATATTTCTGAATATATGTATATAATCAAACTAAATTTTATAATACATTTTATTGTTAAATGTATATATGTATATATACTTTTCACTTTATTAAGCCTTGTTCAAAAACATTTTTTAAGAGTTGTAATAATCCACTGGAAAGGTGAATAAATCTCTAACATGTCAAACTCTTGCCAAAAAAAACACATTACATACTTCCCTGACAAATGATGACCATAAGCAACAGTAACTTGCTGAGAGGGCTTGAGCCTTGTACCTGCACTGTAGTGGGCCACACTGACCCTTGCTGACATATGTGGCTCTCTGCTTTTGCTCTGCTTAGCCTCTTTACTTGCTCCTTTCTCCCCACATCTGCCATGGGGGTTGAGGAGCATTAACAGGAAAGAAATATGCTCTGTTTGTTGGAAAACTGATGTTACCCACATGTGGAGCAAGCCCAGGGAAACCTAATTTTTTCCTGAAATTCAGAGCATAACAAAGGTTGCAATAAAATCTTCATTATGCTTTCTAAGAAGAGTGACCTTCATAATTTATAAATCCAAACATTCTTTGGAATAGAATAGTTTCTTTTGGATTCTACCAGCAATCGTCCTCTAGCCATAAATTACAAAAAATAACAGATACAGAATTGCTTGAATCTCCATATAAATATAAAGATAATGGAATTATTGTTAGCATTTAGAACAGATTAAAATTAATATAGGACTAATCCCATGACCACGTTTTTCACTGTAACATCTGGTTTCAAAAATTTTAAACAAACATTGTATTATTGGAAACAGCATTTCCACCTTCTTACTATTATGTAAACAAAGAAAGGAACAGTAGGATGAAGGTAATTCTCTCGTTTAGCTATAAAGTTCTGGGTATGCCCACATAAGAGTCATTTAAGAAAAAATCAGAAGTCTAAAAGAACATGTAAATAATGGATTCCACAAACTTAACCCCTAAAATGTACATAATGAAGTAACTAGAAATTGACAATACCTAAGCTCTTCTTCCCTGGTCCTGAATCCTCTCCTGATATAAAGACAGAGAATATTCCCAGGAAATGAAAAATTGTATTCAAGCCTGAATGAAAAAAAATTTCTCTGCTCCCAAAGTAAGCAAATAGCTTAGTCTTTTTGGCTTGCAGTTGAGAATTAATACTCTGGACAGAGACCCGGAGGCGCTTCCACAACTTCAGGGTATTATAACCGTGCCCACATTAATCCATAAGAAGTGTTCCTTTACAGAAACAAAGGGAAAGTGGGGTTTTAAAAGTTCCTTTTCCTCCCTCAACAGTGTGCTTTAATTCCTCTTAAAAGTGTCATTTAAATATAACTATTAACATCACCCCATTTTGCCCCCAGGTCCCAGGAGTAAAATTTCAATTTGCCTTTTTGGAAAAATCTGTCATAGGTGCCCCACAGTTAGGGTCTCCGGCGTCAGTCACTGAAGAGGGGGCGCTCCTGCTTGCTGCCCTCCGCGCTCTCCTGGGCGTCCTTCCGCACTCAGCCCTCCGCCCCTACCCTGCCTGCTGCCCGCTCCTGCGGCGGGTCAGCTGCCTTTCCACGCCCGGCCCCCGGCTGCTCCCCTCCGGCGGCCGCTCACCTCTTTGCTCAGGTGACCGATGGGCTCGGGCCCCCGGCGGTGTCCAGAGCTCGGCGGTCCGCGTCTGGGGACCGTCCGGAGCCGAGGGAGGGGAGCCGAGGGAGGGGAGGCGGGGTGGGGCGGGGTGACGATGACTTGTGTCTGGGGACTCCGCAGGGGCTCCGCGCAGCACGAAAAATAAACGACCACCAAGTTCTTCTTTCTCTGCAGTCTCATTTCCTGCTTGATTTCTAATTCCCGGGATTTCTCCAGGTTTGTCCGTGCTGGTGGGCAGGACAGTTTCAGCGCGGGTAAGTTCATGCCACCGTGACCTGTTGGCAGATGCGCCTTTGTGGTTGACGGGTTTGCTGTAATTATGGCGGGCTTCCTTGGTTCTGGGTCTTCCCAAACTTGTGTTTGAAGGTTGAGAATTAGTGATGAGCACCTGTGATACCTTCAGTTTGAATTTTCTGTTTGGCCCAATTGGAGAACGCGATTCTCAGAAAACTGCATTTAAATGTTATGATTCGTTTGGGTTGGGGTTCCCCACTCACCTCCACCCCCACCATCCATGAAAATAGCCTCTAGAATCGCCCCTAGCAGCTCAAACCTTGTTTACCAGTTCCTGCAATTGTAGATAGGCCTCCCAATATTTTGACTCATAAATAATTAATATAACTAAAATGACCTTGTTTCACTCTTTCTATTTTACACTGCATTTGAGCTTTCATTTAGAATTTTTAGGGCTGTGGTCATTAGGGGCCAGAAACATAGACCTTGTTAAAAATACAAATTCTCAGACTCTACCCCAGATTTACTGAATCAGAAACTGAAGGAATAAGGCGAAGGGGTCTGGTGTTTACAAGCCTTGCAAATGATTTCCATGCAGCTTCATGTTGCGAATTGCTGGTTTAGGAAAATAATTTATTGTAATGACTGTACTTCATATTTATTGAGGGCTTACTCCATGACAAATACAAACATTTTCACAATACTGACTCACTGAAACATCACACCACCACCAAAAAACCTGAAAGAAAATTATTTATGTCATTTGCATTTTTTAGGCACATAACGGTGACTAACCCCAGGTCATTGCAGCTTTTAAGTAGGCAAAGCCAAAGTTGATTCAAACCCAGGCAGTCTGGCACGGTAGTCTGAATATTTAACCACAGAGCCGAGGCTATCTTATTTAGCTACACACTGGACTGTTCCCATATCCAGTGTCTAAGCAGTGAAGTGATTTATAGTTAGTAATCAGCAAGCCAGTTACCAAGGCAGAATTATAGAATCAGGGACTCTAGAAGTAACTCTAGAAGCATGTGTGATATGAACTTGGTCTTTAGCTCTTCAGAGCTGACATGGTTCTTTAAGTTAAAAATTCACATGTGACCTCCAAACTTGGACGTTTGCTCTGGAAACACGGTATATTCGTGGGTTATTGGCATCCACAGTTTTTCTTTCAAAGCTCCTTGGCGACCAACCTCATGGCTTCATATTCTTTAGCCAGTTTCTAACCAAGGTCTAGACTCTTAGAGCCCTGCTATGCTAGGATGAACTACAGAAAGATGATGGTGATACGTTACTCCTTTTCCCAGGAGGGTTGTCGGTGGTCATTTTTGTTGTTGTTTTAAGAACTTACATTAGGAGTGTTTCTTGTTTTCAGGCTTTTAATGAGAAGCCTTTCTACAACTGTTTTGTGTCAGAGGTCTCCATGTATTTTCTGCATTTTATTTATTCTGCTAGAATTACTAGAAAATTGAAAGGCATGTTGGGACTAATTATATTCAACTTGCTCTGTGTAATACATAATTAAAATAATAAAGTCAATAATTGCTTTTATATTTAGAGCATGTGTGTGCCAAAGGCTTTGTACATGTTGCTCAATTCTCAAAAATATTCTTCTGAGGTAGATACTCAAAAGTATACCTATTTTTTAGGTGGACCACTGAGCATAAATGATTCAGAGCCATACTACAACACTTAATTAATCTTAGACCACAAGGGCCCTGCATTTAGCCCTAGCTTTCCCAGCCAGCTCTGCCTCTGTTTCCACGTTCACTATTGTAAAACAGCAAACCGAGGATTGACATATGACCATTCTCCTTTCCGACCATACTTTCTGTTCCTAGGCCTCACACCTGTGAATGGGAATTTGGACTTTATCTGAACTCCTCACCCTGTTTCCCAGACTATGGGCATTCACCTGTACTTTCAGGATCATTTGCCATCTTACTTACATCTTACTATAGCTTACCTAATATTTTTTTTTGGTATCATTAATCTACAATTACATGAAGAACATTATGTTTACTAGGCTTCCCCCTTCACCAAGTCCCCCCCACATACCCCTTCACAGTCACTGTCCATCAACGTAGTAAGATGCTGTAAAATCACTACTTGTCTTATCTGTGTTGCACAGCCCTCCCCATGCCCCCCACGCACTATACATGCTAATCGTAATGCCCTCCTTCTTTTTCCCCACCCTTATCCCTCCCTTCCCACCCATCCTCCCCGTCCCTTTCCCTTTGGTAACTGTTAGTCCATTCTTGGGTTTTGTGATTCTGCTGCTGTTTTGTTCCTTCAGTTTTCCTTTGTTCTTATACTCCACATATGAGTGAAATCATTTCATACTTGTCTTTCTCTGCCTGGCTTATTTCACTGAGCATAATACCCTCTAGCTCCATCCATGTTGCTGCAAATGGTAGGATTTGTTTTCTTCTTATGGCTGAGTAATATTCCATTGTGTATATGTAACACATCTTCTTTATCCATTCATCTAATGATGGACATTTAGGTTGCTTCCATATCTTGGCTATTGTAAATAGTGCAGCAATAAACATAGGGGTGCATCTGTCTTTTTCAAACTGGAGTGCTGCATTCTTAGGGTAAATTCCTAGAAGTGGAATTCCTGGGTCAACTGGTATTTCTATTTTGAGCAT